CGGTGGATGACAGGCCCGGAAATCATCTCGTCGAATCTCTCCAGAATCCGAAACTTGAAATCCCGCCAGTCCAAAAAAGGTTGATTTTCCTGCTGCCAATCATACCAGTGAAGCACCTCGCCGTCGATGCTCATAGCGGCCAGGGCCAATCGCTCGCCGTCAGGGATTTTTCCAAGTGTAAAGTAACGTTCGGCTCGCACAATCCAACCTGCAACATTAGAACCTTCGAAAATGGGCATTTCAATCTTGCGAAGGTTAAGCTCGGTACCCGCGATGTACGGAGCCCCTGTCGTCTCGGTGGTCGGTGGTTTCTGGGCATCGATGATGGTCTGGAGTAAGAACCCCGGTGGTAGCGGTGTAGAGTCGACCGGAGACTTCCCCTCACGTCGGAACAGTTCCTGTGCACACGAGGATGGTTTAGCGGAATCTGTTGATGCAGGCGTTGGATGCTCACGCATCTCACCAAGCAGGAGGCACAACTTTTCCAGCAACTTCTCCATTGCCGGTATTTTGGCGACGTCCTTCTGCAACCCGACGACACCGGATTGCAACTCCCCCATGTTGGTTTGAATCGAGCCCACACTGGTTTCCAAATGAGAAAGCCTAGTGTTGACTGAATCCTCTGAATCCGTGCGGTGTTGATCTTTCGGTGGCATACTGGATCGCTGTGGCTCTTATACCAATGTAATACGTTTGTAATGAAAAGATACGCAGATTGTATTCCTCGCAGCAAGAAATACAACGTTGAGCTTGTTTATTGAGAGGCTCTACTCTCCCCCTTTCCTCACTTTCACTCTAATTTCTGGATACCTCTCACCTTACAGACTCAACACTGATATAGAACTATCGATTCTACCTGCTGATGTGGCAGCTAATACGTCAGCTAAGCGAAAAGAGTAATAAGAAATGACCGACAATTGATAACAACCTTGGAATCTTCATAACAGACTTTTATTCCCTTTCCATGCGTCTCCTGCTCCCCTTAATTCAGCATCCAATTAGGCTTCTCCCTCTTCTGGGCTTGCCTCTTGCTGGGCTGCCACCTTCTTCCTTGTGTGTCTTCTGACGAAGGCCCGGAATGGCCTATCAGAATCCAGACTACATTTCTCCAAGAGACTTCAATGGCCATGGCACGCATGTTGCAGCAACTGCAGGTGGATCTTTTGTGCCTAACGTAACCTATCTAGGGCTTGCAGGGGGAGTCATGAGAGGTGGCGCACCACGTGCTCATATAGCAATGTACAAGGCATGTTGGCACGTGGCCGAGGTAGGAAGTGTGACATGTTCCTCTGCAGACATGTTGAAAGCTATGGATGAAACCATTCATGATGGTGTCGATGTCATCTCCATGTCTATCGGTTCCAAGGTTCCTCTACTTTCGGAAATGGATACAAGCGACGGTGTTTCAGTGGGAACGTTTCACGCAGTGGAAAAAGGCATTCCAGTTGTATGTGCCGCCGGTAACGAGGGCCCTGCCGCTCAGACTGACGTAAACGTGGCTCCATGGATCTTGACAGTGGCTGCAACCACTCAAGACCGATCCTTTCCCACACGGATTACACTAGGGAACAATATGACAATACTGGTATGTACGTATGTATGTATGTACAGACATTCACGTAGAATGATGTTCCAAACCTGTCTCATGGAATATTTTAATAACCTGTCTTTGCTAATTACAGGGTCAGGGATTATACTTCGGCGAAGAAGTCGATTTCACTGCTCTCGTCTTTATAAGGTAGAATGTGTCTCTGACATCCCAGTTTCTACGATGATTTTAGTAACAGCACATAAGTTGATGAGTGAGATCACTTCACTGACATCATAGATCTGTTAACTTGCAGTGATTGTGAGGAAAACTCCCAACCAGACAATGACTGGGAAAGTTGTATTGTGTTTCACGTCAAAGACAGATAGCACAGCCGCAGGAATTGCTGTACAAAATGCTGGTGGTCTCGGCGTTATCGTGGCAAGAAACCCGGGCTACTTGCTTTCTCCATGCGTTGATTTCGCTTGTGTTTCTGTGGATTACGAGCTCGGGACCGATATACTGTTCTACACGCTTTCCACTAAGTATCTACATGAACTTCACTATCATCTGAACTATGACTCCGTGTATAGAAAATCATGTTAAACTCGAATTCTTGCATTTGTAGATCTCCGATTGTGAAGATACAGCCCTCGAAAACGCTAATTGGACAACCCGTGCTACAAAGGTTGTGGTCGAGCCACCAAGAATGGTCACTAACGTTGGGCCAGTAGACTCGGTCTATAAGGTCGTGGTCGAGCCACCATTGGGCGTTAGTGTGGCCGTGACACCAGACACGATAGTGTTCAACTCTACGACCAAAAGGGTTTCCTTCACGGTTCGAGTCTCGACCGGACAAAAAGTGAACAGTGGGTTCTACTTCGGGAGATTGACTTGGACCGACTCTGTGCACAATGTGACCATACCTTTATCCGTTAGGACACAGATTTTACAGAGCTACTACGACGAGAACTGATGGTCTTGGTGTTTGTTTTACCTTTCTAACAAATTTTCATGTTTCGACTTGAAATTTGGATATTTATTATTTATTATTTATGTTTGTGTTTGAATAATAAGCAGATGTTGTGCCTGTGACCGAGGCTACATTTTGCACATATGTACTCTATTGTTTATGTTGATTAATAATACGATACAACTGTGTTGATGAATTGAGGCGACATACTCGGTTTCTTGAGAAACAAGAAACCGATTTCTTGTAACTTTCTACCATTAAAAAATAATCATTATTCTAAAATATTCGATATATACGATTAATAAATAGTTCTATTCAAGAATTTTGTGATATATATCAGTCGATATGAGAAATTAAAATTCTATCTGCATAGTTATTATGATTACAAATATAATATGACAACAATTCAATACAAATATGCAGTGTTGGTGTCTTCGCTAGAAGGATAGCATGAATATGCATGCCAAATATATATATATATATATATATATATATATATATATATACACACGTTAAGATATCAACGTTACGACGAATTCAATTACAGTATTACATCAATGATGATTAAAATTGAACTACTAGCAAAATAAAAACCCGCGGATTCGCGTGGCGTGGTGGATATAAAACTTCCCATTTGATTAAATATAAAATGTGGTGCATGGGGTTGACAATGCGGGCACGTGAGGAAGAGATTAAGGCAAACACCGTGTCGCCTTGATTTTATTTGATTCGATTCCCAAATGAATCCATTTCGTTTATTAATTCGAAGTTTCATATATCAATTAAAATAATTATTTTCATTAATGTAGGAGCCGTTCTTTCACATTCCAGGGTTAATCAATCGTTTTATCAAAATAAAAAACCACTTATTAAAAATTAATTCAGATTTACATTTTCATAAAAAAACAAATCTGAATGGAAATCCGACACAATGTATATCAATTTTTTAAAACAAAAATATTGAATAAGAAAATAATCTAATCTCCAGATCCGAAATACCTAGTTTAATGACTAGCTAAACAAAACAAAGGAAACATCATTAAGGATAATTATAAATCAATCATTAACCGTTACACGTTAGAATCAAAATTATACGAATCTAATTAATTACATAGTTGCGTGAGCCACCAGAAAAAAAAGGACGTGCGATTACATGGCGCATTTATAAAACTCTTATTGGATTAAAATAAAAAAAGTAAAAGACAAGCGAAGTTGGTGAAAGCTTGATCCTCATGTGAGTCATTACGTTGATTAATTAAGTTTCCAAGATTAATTAATTAAAAACCGAAATAATCATTATTTGTTTTTTCTTTGGTAATGCATGCACATGCACACGGTTGTCCCTTCGTCAAGAATCAATGTATAGTTTATGTAATAGTGTACATATTTCGAATAACTTGGGGTTGTAATGAACGGATCTTAAGCATATTTATCATGTGTTAATATATTATCGAATATGAGTTTTTGTTTGACTTATGAAACTTATTTGAACCGACCCGGTAATACACAAATTGTAATTAAAAAAAATACTTTTTGGTCATTTGCAAATCTTTAGCCGACAGAAACACGCTCCTTAGCAATCCATTTACATTTCATAAAAATTCCAATCCTTTAAATTACATTAAAATAGATAATGTTGTTTAAAATCCATTATAATCAATCCAATTACTCCCCCTTCCTACGTGGAACTCCAGATCCGGAATTCACGTGGCAGTGTCCATTTGGATATATTTAAATTCACACCTTACACATACACAAACACATGTCTAATTTCATATATTATATATAATATAATTATATACAAGTTGTTTGCGTTGACTCTCTCCATGTTTGTACACCTGCCACTAAAAAAGAAAATTGATCACATTACAATAAAGTATTGAATTTCATATCCAAAAAAAAAAAAAAAATCGGTTTTGAAGGTCGTTTTATTTCTGAAGAAGTTTCAAAAGGTCTTATCTTACAATTACCCAAATTTCTTCAATGCAGATGCAGAGAAAGAAAAAGATCTGAAACATGGTTGGTTTCACGTGGACATGGAATTTAGACACGTGGTCGAATTCCATCTTTTGGACAGTCCAGTGAACCCTAGATTACAGTTTTAAACATATATATTCAAGATCAAGAAAATCTCAAAGTAAACTCAATTCTTCCCATTGGTTAGGGAGAGGTACCGATTGCTTGACGACCAAGAAACATATTTTTCGTCTCTGCAATACCAACTGCTTCGTTATACAATCAATGATTTCCAGAAGCTGCGTTTGTTTCGTTACCAATGAAAAAAGAACAGTAATTTTGAAGTTACTGTATTTCGGTAAATTATAAGTTTTCACGTTGGGGTTGACCGAGAGAGAGACGCAATGACAGATAAAACAACTGAGGAAAATCCAACGAGGCAATTGCAAGATTGATTCCTCGGCAAGAATCTACCCAAAAAAAAAAAAAGTTCTATATAAAGGTTTATGGATCTTTCTCCTAATAACACATCCTCTCTTTTGCTGTCCTAAAGAAACAGAAAATGGGCAAAACACCATTTCTTGTAGCAACATGTCTGATGTTGTCTCTGTGTTTGCAGAGCAGCTTCGTGTATGCTGGAAAGAAGGTACTTTTATAATCTATGGAAGTGTCTCTCTCTCTCACCAGACAAGTAAACCAAAGCTAACCATGCATGTATGTATGTATGTGTTTTTTGTTCTTGTTCTATTTTGTTTCTGAATCAATAGGTTTACATAGTGTATCTGGGTGGGAGGCATCATGATGATCATGAGTTACTCACTGAATATCATCGTCAGATGCTGTGGTCAATTCTGGGAAGGTACGGTAACTTTCTGTGTATCTGTATGTATGTGTGCGTATGTATGTACATATCTGTACATGTCAAGATGTTGAAGATGGTTCTATTGATCCGTTTCATGGTAAAGCGAAGAGGCAGCATATGATTCGATGATATACAGCTACCGGCATAGCTTCTCGGGCTTTGCTGCAAAGCTCACAGCGTCCCAAGCCAGGATGATTTCAGGTGCTGAGAAAGTTCAGAATTCAAGCTAATGATCATGTGTTATGTCTTATGGAAATCTCAAGAATCTTGATGCTGTTCTTTTTTTTGGGTGGCAAACAGAATTACCAGAAGTTATTCATGTCACACCGGACAGAGCCTACCAATTGGCCACGACGAGGACTTGGGATTACTTAGGACTTTCTGCAACAAATCCGAGGAATCTCCTAAACAAGACGAACATGGGGGAACAAGTCATCGTGGGTGTCGTGGATTCAGGTATTTATATATATATATGTATTATATGATGACATGTCTTTATAGATGGCGAGATGGAATTACATTGATAATATTACAGGAGTATGGCCGGAGTCTGAAATGTTCAGCGACAAAGGGTATGGACCGATCCCGAGCCGTTGGAAGGGAGGATGCCAATCAGGACAACAGTTCAACGCCTCGACTCATTGCAACAGGAAGCTAATAGGAGCAAAGTACTTCATCGACGGCCTCCTTGCCGCTATCGGAGACTTGAACACGACGGTGAACCCTGAGTTCATCTCCCCTAGAGACTTTGGTGGTCATGGAACACATGTCGCCTCAACTGTAGCCGGTTCTTTCGTGTCTGACGTCAGCTATGGAGGGCTTGGCCGAGGAACCGTCAGAGGAGGAGCTCCTCGTGCTCGTATAGCAATGTACAAGGCTTGCTGGCTTCAACAAGGAACTTGTTTTGGAGCCGATCTCTTGAAAGCCATAGATGAAGCTGTTCGTGATGGCGTTGATCTCATATCGATCTCTGTCGGGGGAGCAGTTCCTTTATCTGCAGAATTCGATTTGCGAGATTCAATGGCCGTTGGATCGTTCCACGCAGTCACCAGAGGTATTCCGGTTGTATGTGCAGGGGGTAATGCAGGCCCGGCTGCTCAGACGATCGTGAACACGGCTCCTTGGATCCTGACTGTGGCTGCAACCACTCTGGACAGATCCTTTCCCACTCCGATCACATTAGGCAATAATGTTACTATACTGGTATGCGCATACGGCATACATGAACATCAAATGTTGTCCTAAGCCTTCTCGATGAATGTTTTCATGATTTGCCTTGTGCTTATTGCAGGGTCAGTCTATGTACGTAGGACGAGAAATCGGTTTCACTGGTTTAGTTTACCCCGAGAATTCAGGAGACAGTGACGAGAGTTTTTCAGGGTAATCTTCTGTCTCCACTTCCCCCATTTTCGATCAATGTTTTCAGGAACGAGACACAAATTGCTCGGGGAAGATCGCTAACGTCATTGATTCTGTAACTTGCAGCACCTGTGAGCAGCTTTCTGTTAATCCGACCCGAATAATGGCGGGGAAAGTTGTGTTGTGTTTCACAACAAGAACAGATAGCGGCGCTGTAAGAAATGCTGCAGCTGCTGTAAAACAAGCTGGTGGTCTCGGAGTTATTGTAGCAAGAAATCCCGGCGTGACAGTTCCGTGTGGTGGTTTTCCATGCGTTCTTGTAGACTACGAGCTCGGGACCGACATACTATTCTACATACGTTCCTCTGTGTATGTTTTCCCCAACTTTAACTCTTGGATTTTGCCTGTCGGAACATAATTTACTAACGTTCTTGTTTTCCAGATCGCCAGTGGCAAAGGTAAAGCCTTCTGGAACACTCTTTGGACAACCAGTGGCGACAAAAGTTGCGACTTTCTCATCAAGAGGACCGAATTCGCTTTCTCCAGCCATTCTCAAGGTATATAGATCAGAACCCCGATTCTAGATTATCCGTTTCAGATGATTTAACTCGTGTTTTTTCGTAACGAAGCCTGATATAGCGGCACCAGGAGTGAATATTCTGGCAGCAACCTCTCAAACGAGTAGCTCCCATGACAAGGGATTCGTCATGATGTCTGGAACATCAATGGCGACTCCTGCTGTTTCAGGAATCGTTTCCCTCCTCAGAGCATTGCACCCTGATTGGTCTCCCGCCGCCATCCGATCAGCTCTTGTCACTACAGGTTTCACTTCCATCTTCCTGCTGTTGTCCGCTTTACGTTTTTAACCCAAAGAATAACACTTACCCTTTTGAGCATACCTTAAATTTTTCAGCTTGGAAAACCGATCCTTCCGGCCAGCCCATCGTAGCCGAGGGATCAAACCGAAAACTAGCCGATCCATTCGACTATGGAGGAGGCCTTGTGAATCCAGAGAAAGCCGCAGATCCTGGTCTGATCTACGATATGGGTATAGATGACTATGTCCTCTACATGTGCTCTGTCGGTTACAGCGATCCCTCCATCTCCCAACTCGTGGGAAAAGCAACATCTTGTCCGAACCCGAGACCGTCGGTTCTGGATCTCAACCTGCCTTCCATCACGATCCCAAACCTGAAAGACGAAGTCACTCTCACAAGAACAGTAATCTATGTAGGATCTGGCGGCATGGCGGTCTATAGGGCCATGGTCGAGCCACCATTGGGAATTCGAGTTGACGTGACACCTAAGGTACTAGTGTTCGGACCGATGACCAGAAGGGCTTCGTTCAAGGTTAGAGTGAAGACCGGTAACAAAGTGAACACTGGATACCATTTCGGGAGTTTGACTTGGACCGACTCTGATCATAAAGTGACCATTCCTTTGTCTGTTAGGACACAGATTCTCCCAAACTACAGCGACGTGAACTGATGAGTTCAATATGTTAGGCTGATGAATAATCTGATGTGATGTATGTGTCTGGAAAAAAAAAAAATCTGATGTGTGGCTGTGGTGATGAATAATATGACGTCATCTTGCAGAAAGCTTTTTAATAAATTTCATATAAATACACATATTTATTATCAATTATCAAATATTTCAAGTTTTCAAAACACAAATATGAGCTTTTTCAAATTTCTAGTTAAAATCGAAATTGTGAAATTTTGTGTATCACCTTTAAGTTTTTAAACAGTAAAAAATTTGTGAATTTTGATGAAAATTGTAAAAAAAAAATGCTTATATTAATTTGAGAGTTTAGATAGATTGGTATATTTATATTACGGTGATCTGAATTATTTTTTATGGGATCCAAATCCAATCACCTAGAAAAATATTATGGACTTGAGGATGTTATTCATTCATGGGCTTAGAGAAAGCCCATAAAGGGCCCAAAGTCAAAGAACGTACTCTATGGGCTTAAACCATCTCTGTGGTACCGTCATAATCACATGTAATATATACTAAAAAATATATCAATTTATTAATAATAAATTATTACAGATAAGATAATCCAAGCGATCGATGATTTACAAAGCACATGAAAGGTCAGTTCTCATCATAATAGTTCTGGAGAATCTGTGTCCTCACAGATACAGGAATGGTCACATTATGCACAGAATCACTCCAAGTCAAACTCCCAAAGTAAAAACCAGTGTTGATCTTGTGCTTGGTCGAGACTCGGACCGTGAAGGCAACCCTTCTGGCCGTGGAGTTGTTGAACACTAAAGTGTCTGGTCTCACCTCAACGTCGATCCCCAGCGGATTCTCCACCAAGATCTTGTAGACAGAGTCGGCTGGTCCAACGTTAGTGACTGTTCTTGAGAGAGTGACTTCATCCCTGAGGTCTGGAATGGTGATCGAAGGCAAGTTCAGATCAAGAATGGACGGCTTCGGGTTCGGGCAAGCCGTTCCTTTTCCGACAAGTTGAGAGATCGAGGAGTCGTTGTAACCAGCCGAGCATAAGTAGAGGATGTAGTCGTCGATGCCCATGTCGTAAACAAGACCGGGTTCTGCAGCTTTTTCTGGATTCACAAGGCCTCCTCCATAGTCGAACGGATCTGCTAGCTTCCGAGGTGACCCTTCCGCAGAAATCGGCTCTCCATACGGATCGGTTCTCCAAGCTGCAAATTGTCGTAAGGTGATTCTAAGATGATTGTATACTTATATGTGTGTTCTTGGTTTGGATGTTGGATTGAGACAAGAACCTGTGGTGACAAGAGCTGATCTAATAGCAGCAGGAGACCAATCAGGATGCAAAGCTCTGAGAAGTGAAGCAACTCCTGAAATCACGGGAGCTGCCATTGATGTTCCTGACATCATTACGAAGCCTCCATCGTTGAAAGTTTCATTTGGAGAAGTCGCCGCTAATATGTTGACTCCCGGTGCTGCAATATCTGGCTGCATTACCAGAACCCACTTCTCTAATGATTCAGAAAGAAAAAAACATCATTCGACGGATTTAGAAACATGTTTCAAGGATTCTGTCTCACCTTGAGAATGGCTGGAGAGATCGAATTAGGTCCTCTCGATGAGAAAGCGGCGACCTTTGTCCCCACGGGTTGTCCAACGAGGGTTCTTGAAGGTTGAATCTTCACAACAGGTGACCTGCAGGCCACAATTCTCAGATTCCATTCAATGGTCTTGTTCTTGTACAATAAAGAGATTTGTTATATGTATCTGGAAGATCGAAAAGTACCCGGTTGAACGAATGTAGAACAGAATATCGGTTCCTAGCTCGTAATCAACAGCAACGCAAGGAAAATCATCATCACATTGAGCTAGATTGTTGCCTTGATTTCTTGCCACGATCACACCAAGACCACCGGCTCATTTCACATACCGTACAGCGGTTGCGACAGCACTGTAACGTGTTGAAGTTGTGAAACACAACACTACTTTTCCAGCCATGGTACTGTTGCTATTCAGAATGAGATTCTCACAGGTTCTGCAAGTTTTAGAGCCGCCATTGATGTCAGAGAACCGATCACAAAGACAGAGACTTTTTGTCAGTTTCTAACCAACATATATGTCTCTTACAGCTTAACAAGAAGAAACCCGAGGCTCCGTGTTTACCCGCTAAACGTCTCGTTGCTGTTTCCCGGGTCCTCAGGGTAAACCAAACTAGTGAAATCGAGTCCTCGTCCTGTGTACATTGCTTGGCCCTGCAGAAATAGTCACAGAAACGTGAACATATCATTATAATACCTTGAGAATCAAACATAAAATATGAAAAACAAAAGATTATGATCTGACTTTAACATCGATTAGGAGAAGAGATGATGAATGTTTTACCAGTATTGTCAAGTTGTTCCCAAGTGTAATGGCTGTGGCGAAAGACCGGTCTAGAGTGGTTGCAGCCACTGTCAAGATCCATGGAGCAGCGTTCACGACAGTCTGAGCCGCTGGGCCAGCATTACCTCCAGAACATACGACCGTAATACCCTTTGTGACCGCATGGAATGCTCCTGTGGCTATCCCGTCGCTCATATCGGTCTCTAGACGCAAAGGAACTCGGATTCCAAGAGAGATTGACAGGACGTCGATCCCGTCATTTATAGCTTCATCCATTGCTTTTAAGATATCAGCCGACGAACAAGTAGCCGATTCTAGCGAATCGAGATACCAGCATGCCTTATAGGCCGCTATACGGGCCCGGGGTGCACCGCCTCTCACGGTACCTTGACCCAGTCCTTTGTAGCTAATGTTAGGAATGAAAGAACCTCCTGCAATGGTGGCAACATGTGTGCCATGGCCATCGTAGTCTCTCGGGGAAATGTAGTCTACTGTTTCCGTGGCATTGAATGTTTCGAAAGTGGCGATAAATCCGTCAATGAAGTACTTGGCTCCTATTAGTTTTCTGTTGCAATGAGCTGAGGGGTCGAAGAGCTCTCCAGATTGGCAGCCTCCTCTCCAACGGCTCGGTATCGGCCCAATCCCATTATCGTTGAACACTTCAGACTCTGGCCACACTCCTAGAAGAACCGGACAAGATATCGAAGAAAAAAACATGTGAGTGATCAAAGGAAACGCTTCAACACAAGCAGTGTGAGAATCCGACCTCCTAAATCTGATCTTGCAGATACATACCTGTGTCGATGACACCGATGATAACCTGTTCGCCCATGTCTGTTTCGTTGAGAAGATTTTTCGGATTGGCCGCAGAAAGTCCTAAGTAATCCCAAGTTCTGGTAGTCGCCACTTGGTAGAAACTATCCGGGGTGACATGAATAACTTCAGGCAATTCTATTGCCAAAAATCAGAACAAGAAAATCAGTGTCTGAACTTTAAACAAATCAAGAAATGGCGAGAACCGAAAACAAGGGCCGAGTACCGGCAAGTTCCTTGGCTTGTGACGCGGTAAGCTTGGCCGCAAATCCCGAGAAGCCATGTCTGTAACTATACACCATAGATTTATGTGCAGTCTCGTTGCTGTAACAGGGAAAGAAGCAAAGAAACAGTGGTAGCACCTCCGGATATAACATTCATTATGCTTATGCCTTATCGAAGTGAATGGGTTTTTAGCTTGTACCTTCCAAGAAGAGAGCACAGAATCTGATGATGAGATTCAGTGACAGTGTTCGGATCTTCATGCTGCTTCTCACCCAAGTAAACTATATGAACCTGGTTTATTATTACAGAACAAACCCAATTCAGATTAGCCTCTTACTGGCTTCTGTCTCGGCATTTTCGAGCAAATTACAGTACAGAAGAAGCACCTTCTTCTCCGCGTTAGCTCGTGCGAAAGAGCTGCTCTGCCCGTTTAGTAGTATTATCAGACAGATCACCACAAGAATTGGCGTTCTGTAACTTTTCAATCCACGCGAAAAACAGAGTTCCATGTTCAATCTTTAAGCCACAGAGAGGGATTTAAACCTACTTGGAGAGGGAGGAGGAGGAAGAGCTAGTGTTCATATATTATATATATACACACACATACCTTCCCTCGATGACTTTGTCTGATAACGTATGCGTTTTTTTGGAATTTTTCTTACCTTTGCTTGTTTGAATCTTCCTATGCTTCTTCCTTGTCAGAATCATTCAAATTCAAAATAATATGAATTGTCAACTAAATTCTAGTTTAATTGAAAACTATGAGAAACAGAACATCAACCGACAATGAACAGAGATGACCCACCTACACAAGTAACTAAAAGCTAGATTTCGCCGCCATGGACTTGTCCTGAGATGAGAACTGATAAAAAGATTTAGGCTTTGTATGTTTCACGATGACCCACCTAAACAAGTGATCATCTTCGCCCTGAAAGGCCAAGAAACTGAAACAAGAATGATTTCGCCGCCGCCAATTTTGTGTCCAATTCTCATCGAAAGATCGAGTCTTTGCATGTTTTGAGATGATTCCTTTCTCGATCATAAGTTCTTCAGGAAATGTCTCTGTCTTTGAACGGTTCTAACCCCAGAAAATTTCGAACATTTTGTACTGATTTGACTTGAATCACGCATATAATCAATACGGTCGCTTTCCGTGAATCATTTCTGGTTCACGTCATCGAAGAAGAAGATGAAAAGTAATCTCAGACGCACCCAAATGGATCATTGGATTTCTGGTGATAGTTCTGAGAATGGTTTCCATTTTGTGCTGATGAATGAACGAACATATTGTTTTATCCAAAGACCAGAGCGGCGATGGGAAGGGAGAAGAAAGGTCAACGTCGTTTGACCGGCCAATTCGCTTTGGACCATTGTAATGGGTTTATGGATTTAGTTATCGGCCTTATCAACTTTATGCCCATTGGGCTTTTCGAATGATGTGGTCGGCATATGACCTTTCGACCAAAAATTACGCATTTGGAAAAAAAGACTTAACGAAACGACTATATTACCCTCCATTTGATTCCATATTTACACCCAAAACCCAAACCCCCCACTCTCTTTATTCGTCCAGTTGTCGTCACTCGTCAGCAGCCGATGCAATAAAAAACAAACATGCCACCCATTTTTTGAATTTCGAAAACGTGCTCTGCAAAGCATGATTACCATCTTCGTCTTTTCTTTTTCCTATATTACCAAATTACCCTTCTACCCCAAGAATAAAATTATTGCTTATTTTATACGTCTAATTATTGCCTTCGTTATTCTCTTTTATCTTTTTTTTTTTGGGGTATGATTTCTGTCCAATACAATTTACAATAATGTCCATTGCCATAACATTGTCGCGTTAAGTCGGTTTATGAGGTTTCTTTGGTCCGAAGAAATACATTGTTTTCAACCCCTAAGCACCACAAGTTAAATAAACCGGTCTTAATCATTATCTTTTTCTTTAATTAAATTAAATGATGTTGGGTGGTGGCCGCCTCGCGTCAAAAACTTTATTGTTTGTAAAAGAAAAAAAGCGTACCATATTTCCCTAATTAATTGCGTCGAGCCCCTAATCTTATTTTCCCCATATTTGTCTGGATTATTTATATTAGCTATAAATCGGTTAAGACCCACATCATAAAGCAAGCCTATGGACTTGCCACCTATACACACACACACACATATATGTGCTATAAGCGCATATCCACAAGCAATGGACTTATCACCATACATAAAAATCATCATATATATAATTATGGTTAGATTTTATTTTATTTTATTTTTATCAATTATATAAACAGAAACAGAAGAAATTAGATCACACAGATGGGAAATAGAATCGTCACCTAACTCAAGAGAAGACACATCGCATCATCTAAGATCCCATATTTATTTATACATGCATCAAGTTTTCCCCCATGCAAAAATTAAATAAAAGGTTCAAAACATTGTACGACTTCTTAATGCAAGCGGGGGGGGGGGTATAAATATATTGGTACAAACGGTTCGGGACTTTAGCCTAAATTACCGTCATATTTCAATATAGAATTAAAATTGAGAAAGAGGGAGATTCTTCAATCATATCGGTCCATGTTAATCATAAATATTTAAAAACGTAATCATCTAATTAGGGTAGATATAATCATTAATCATCATGTATAAGAATCCACAAAATACCAAGAATCACGAAAAAGAAAATGTTGGAGAATAAAGGGGCAAATTTGGAATATAGTATTTGTCGAGGCTTTTGGAACGTTGGGATTATTTTAATATATATATTTTTTTTTCGGGACAGAACGGTGAAGCTGAGGATCACGCGGCTCAGTTCACCACCAGTGAGGTTGATTGAGCAAAGCTAAAGTAAAGATTTTTTTTTAAAAAAAACATAAAAAGGAGAAATTTTCCCCCCTGCTTTTCTCGGATTTTGGTTTATTGAGAAATTTGGAGAACATAGAGAGGAATCTGTTTTTTTTTTTTTTTGCAGACATTATTGGGTCTTTTTTCTCCTTCTGAGAGATTGAGAGATGATGCTGTTGAGTTCACCTTTTGTTTTCTCACGACAACCTTAAAAAAGGCAGAAGCTTTCTCTCAAAGGGTCTCTTCTGAGAAAGAAGGTTAACAATGGGATTTGCCAGAGCTCAGAAATCTGGAGTTAATGGAGTCTCCGCCAAATGGGTTTCTATTCTTTGCATTTCCAGTTTCTTCCTCGGTGTTCTTTTCGTTAACAGGTTATTTTACTCTCTATAATCTTCTATCGATCTTGCTTTGGCCCTTCAATCATGCGCTGCTTCAGGATCTTGTTTTCTCAAGGGATCAACTTTTTTTTTTTAGTTCGATGTTACTGTTTATGAGATTTTGGGAATTTCGTTTCTGATGCAACAAAGGGTTCGCGGTTTTGTTCCACATTGAGGTATTCCGGACACTCTGATGCAAATTTCTGCTTAAAGTTGGCTCCTTTAATGGAAAGATTATGTTTTTTCCTGCTGGGTTCCACTTCTTTTGGTGACTTCATGAGTTTAAGTGGTGATAAGTATGTTGGGTTCCAGTTCCTGCAACATTGCTGAAGAAATCGTAGTATAGTGTTCTTATTGTCACCAGAATGGCTTTGTCTCCGACAGTAGGATTTCGGCTCTCTGGTTTCTTGTCTTGCCCCTTAATGTATGTTATCGTTATTGCATTGAGTTTTGATAATTTCACTGCCTTTTGCTCAGGTTGTTTGTTGTTCCGGAATCTGTAGAAGCCAATGAGAGAGCTGAACCAGGACAGAAACATGAACCAAGGCCCCTCCATCCTCTTATCGATTGCCATAACAAGGCAAGTATTAATAAGATGAACTTCCTTATCTCTCTCCCTCTCTCTGTGTTTTCTCTGACAGGATTTTCCTGTTCAGGAAGGCGACATTATCTCTCGCATTTCACATACTCATGATGTGATCATGTAAGTATCTGCTTCCCTGATACACTTTTTGTGAATAGAGACAACTTATATGATACATTGATATGGAAATAATATGATCAGGACGTTAGACAAAACTATTTCGTCACTCGAGGTAGAGCTGGCTGCAGCTCGAGCAGCAAAAGCTGGTGATGGAGGCGAAGGATCTCCATCTGTTGCGAAATCGGGCCCCGATGAATTGAAGGAATGGCCTCGAGTCTTCTTTGTAATGGGAATCATGACTGCTTTCAGCAGCAGAAAACGGAGAGACTCCATTAGAGAAACCTGGCTGCCCAAAGGTTCCTCCATTCTTTCTCTTTAACAAAACTTCTCTTGAGATGGCTAAGTGTTGAAAAAGAGTTCCCCTTTATTTCAGGGGACGAGTTGAAAAAACTGGAGACCGAGAAGGGAATCATTATCCGGTTTGTCATTGGCCACAGGTAAAATTTGTAAATTGCTTTCGGTCTCCCATATGGCTAAGTCTTATGGCTATTTTATTGATTAGCATTCCATTCGTGTTAGTTCTTCTCCCGGGGGAGTCCTGGACCGTGTCGTTGAAGCAGAAGAAGAACAGTACAAGGATTTCTTCCATCTGGTAAAACATCATATCATTCAACAACATGCTTATATATTCTTTAAGTTTTCCTAATAATCGAAGCGGATGCTGTTCATTTTTGCAGAATCACATAGAAGGGTATCATGAATTATCATCTAAAACTCAGATATACTTCTCAACCGCTGTTGCAAGGTGGGATGCAGACTTTTATGTCAAAGTCGATGACGATGTTCACGTAAACCTTGGTCAGTACATGGACATTCTTGTAACTGTAGCGTATTCGGTCTTGTCCTAAGAAATTCCTGAGCATGGCTTAACTTTATATTCCAGGGATGCTTGGTTCTACTTTGGCTCGTCACCGTTCTAAACCACGGATTTACATCGGTTGCATGAAGTCAGGACCGGTTCTCTCTCACAAGTAAGAAATTCTACCATTCCAAACTGTTCCATCTTCATGGTTTGTGCAAAGATTGTTTCACTCTTTCAGCTTTCTCATGCAGAGGGGTCAAATACCATGAACCTGAATATTGGAAGTTCGGTGAAGAAGGAAACAAGTATTTCAGACATGCCACCGGACAAATCTATGCCATTTCGAAAGATCTTGCAACTTATGTTTCAGTAAACCGGTGAGCTCTCTTTTTTTGGTTTCCGAGGACTAATCTATCGCGCACCCGAAATTTTCATTCGCTTCAGCGGTTAATCATCGTTGATTTCCACTTTTTCTTAGCCAAATACTTCACAAATATGCAAATGAAGATGTCTCTCTCGGCTCTTGGTTCATCGGCCTTGACGTTGAACATATCGATGACAGAAGCCTCTGCTGCGGGACACTCCCAGGTAAAAGTATTGCAGCAGATCTTGCTCTTACCGAACTATTAAGCAAAACAGGCCAAATGGCTCTCGAACTTAACAGTAACTTCATGAAAAGATGATATCTTTAAATATCATTCACCCATTTTCATAGCCTCTGTCCATCTTCATGGCTCAAAAATCAAAATCACAATCCAGAGATTATTGTTGGGTCCAAGCATAAACACGTTCAGACATAATCTTAATGGTCGTTCTTCTGATTACAGACTGTGAGTGGAAGGCTCAAGCTGGAAACCCGTGTGGAGCCTCATTCGACTGGAGCTGCAGCGGTGTCTGCAAGTCAGTTGAGAGAATGCTCGAAGTTCACCAACGTTGCGGAGAAGGGGATGGAGCAATATGGCACACCAGTTTCTGAACTAGAGACAAGAACTAAGTCTTCGTCTACACTCTTCTTGTCTCTGATATGTGTTCTGTTATGTATATATAGTTCAGTTCTTGTGTGCCTTTGAGCATGTAGGCTGCCTTCGTGTAGGCATTAGCGACATCGTCCGGCCCCGATTTTTGCCCCGGCTATTCCTCTGACACCCGCAGCTCGATGATACAGATCGAGATTATGAAGGAAAATTTCGCAGTCAAGTGCTAGTTTCTTGATTCTTTACTTTTGTTATGGATTTGAATTGCTCATTGAAGGAACTTGCTTTTGCAGAATTTTATGGTCAAATCTAAAAGCGGGCACGGCGTGTGTTCTATGTACGCAATGTTCAGTTATAATATGAAAGAACAAGAAAATATGCAAAACTTGAGAATCATGATAACGAAAAAGGAAAGAAACTGAAAAGCCAAACCAATGGAATCAATCGAATATTTTGGATGATTTACGTACTCAAAAAAACAACAACTCTAAAACGTGTTTCGCATAACGAATCGAACAAATCTGAGAACCCAAATCGGCATTCGATGTCGCCGAGCGATGGAAGGATCAAGAAGCGATTATGGTCTCGAAGCAGTGAAGGCCGTCGAGCTCCGGCGCAAACCGAGGAGTCCTCTGCAGCAAACGCGTCTTGTTCTTGCCCGCTTTCTCCGTCTTCTGGGTCGCGGCCTGATCGCCGGAAGCCGTAGCATCGCGTTCAGAGCAGCCACGAACCATAACCTCTTCCCCAGGAGCAGACGCAGAAACAGCCGTAACTTTCTTGCCCATGATCTCCGCACAGAAGGCGTCAAAAACGCTGAACATCGAATTCATGATGGAACGCAGAAACAGAGCACGAATCTAAAACGCAGGAGAGAGAGAGAGATTGGTGGGTTTGGAGAGGAAGAAGAAGGGGGTTTATTTATTTATTGATATAGGAGCCAAGGAGGCCGTGTTGGATAAGGAAAAGGAAAGAGAAAGAATCCGAGTAGGCTCCAAGTTAGTTACGTTTGAAAATTTCCTTTTTTTCGCGTGGAATAGAATTGGTAACTGAATTAAATAAATATGGTCATATAACATATTTGTTGGACCGGAGACTAAATTCTCCTAATGAATTCGTGTTTGTGTAAAACCATTACAAAGACAATTTGGGATCGGAGAATAAAATTCTATAACCTTAAAAACACAACTGTTATGTCTGGTGCGTCATGTCAAAGGTAAATGGGTTGGACTTCGGCAATACGTTAGGTTTAGGTGATGAAATAATTGCATTGAAATTGGCCTCTAACGAATCTATAATCCTTAACGCGTCTTATCCTTGAAGATGAAAATAAAAAAGCTATGATATCACGGAATATTATTATTATTATGAATTCTGAACTATTTAATTTACATCATCGATATTTTAAAAAAAAATTTCATAGAAAATAAAATAAAATTCCTACTAATAATTTTTTAAAAAATAGTATCCATAAAATTAAAAATCCTCTAATAATATATATATATATATATATATATCCATAATAATTATTTTTTATCTTATCCTTTTAAGCATTCAATATATATATATATATAATAAAGAAAATAAAATAACTCAAGATAATGAATATTTAATTAATAAAATTAGACATAACATCTTTTTATTTAAACTTATTTTTAAAATATTTTTTCAATAGATAATAAAATAATTTAATACAAATAATTGTAATTTTATCCAAAAAAGCTATGAGTAAATATATATCTTTAAACTCCACCTTATATTCGATTAGTTTCTAAGTTTCTATACCATTGTTTTCACCGGTTAGGTTTATCCGGTCACTCTACACGGTTAAAATATCGGTTTGGAGATTTAGGTTTACTCGGGATGTGGGGAAACTTCTCACACGGAGCCACGTGGCATCTGTTCAACGATCGATTCATGGCCCAAAACCCAATCCGTAACTCGAGAATCAAGAGGAAGAAGAAAGGAACGAATCGAATCAAATAGTGATTAGGTATTCGAATTCTATAACGAATTTCATCGTATACGCATAACGAATCGGAGAGCAAGAACAATACAGGAACCCAGTTTCAGACAAACTAATCATATATAAAAAAAAATCGTCTTTGGTGTCCGTGAAAGAATCGAATCAAGAAGGGATGATGGTCTCGAAGCAGTGAAGGCCGTCGAGCTCCGGAGCGAAACGCGGAGTCTTCTGCAGCGAACGCGTCTTCTTCTTATCAGTCTTCTGCGTCGCGGATTGATCGCCGGCAGCTGCAGCGTTGCGTTCAGAGCAACCGCTAAACGCAGACGCGGCAGCGATTTTCATGCCCATGAGCTCCGCGCAGAGAGCGTCGAACGAACTGAACATCGAATTCATCTTCGATTAATCGAAATCAAGAATCTGAACTCCCGAGAGGAATCTGAATTTGAGAAAATCTTTGTTGTGTTTTAGACGAGGATGAATGATGATGGAGGAGAAGGGCCTTATATATATGTACAGAGAGAGACGAAGCTTTGACCCTTGACCGTGTTGAAGAATCCTTGGTGGGGTCCACGAACCAAGTTGCTTCCCTTTGCTTGGGAATTTGCGTGTTCTCGAAGAGCCAGAGACTTGTGGACTTTGCCTCTATTTGCGCGTGAGATAAGGCAAATTGTAAAAAAAAAAAAAACTATAATTTTCTAATAGTTTCGTATCCTAATCTACAAGTAAATGGAGATTAATCAACAATTTTTTTATTCAATAATTTAATAACAAATAGCGTAAAAATCGTCCGTATAAGAGGAGGCGGTGGAGTGTACGCGCCCAACTGCGATCAAAGGCAAGATCTCGGTCCAACTTGGTAGATTGTGTCTCTCTGACATCAGCCGTAGTGGGGCCCAGCACTTACACTATTTATTCCAAAGCCAAAATACAAAACTTGGAAACTCGCATACGAATTTAGTCATGCATGTTGTTCAGCACCTTTCGCAAGCGCAAAATCATAAGGGCCTTTTTATCTAACAAATATCTCAAATCTTATTTTATTTCTATCACATATTCATTTTTCCATTTTAACCGTAAGTGTTAGTGCATGTACATGGTTTATATCTTAAACCCCGAACTCTCTTGAAGAAAACTCCAGTTTCGAAGTCAAAATAGGCGGAAAACTAAGTTTGTCCTCTGCATGCTTGCTTACGTCAAAGCCCATCTATGTTTCTTTTGACGAAATGTCTAAACAAAGCCCATTTTAAGTTTTCTTCGTCTTCGGCCATTTCAGTCAACTGGCGAGGCTTATACCAAAGGGTCGCGTCCAATATCATCAGCCCGCTCGTTTTGCAGGTGGCATTTTATTGGTGGACACAGCCGAAGAAGACATGGGTCATGAACAAGTTGCCACCTTTTTTAATATGGGTAATGAAGGAGTTCCGATCAGTGTGAAGTCGTGGACCCGGCTGATGCGAGTGCGGTATCAGCAACAGTGACCGGAGCCATAGCAGTGTACGGAAGAAAATCGCAATCTTTTTCTTCACCCTGCACGCCCCAATACCTGATTCAGAACTGCATGGCCCAGGACCTCTCCTGGAAGGTCGGTGATCTTCTTTCTTCAATTCGATCGAAAGTTTGAATCTTTTCGCTTTGCCATCGGAACATCAAGACTGTTTTCAAGAACACTAAGCCAAGCCAGGCCGGGACCGAGGGCGAAGAGATTGCTCCTCTCGCTAAGGAAAACGTCGCAACACCATGAGACAAAGCCAGCTCAGTTCATGCTTTCTGTTGTGTGTCTTGTCTGCGGAAGATTCAAGTAGTAGGAATGTTAGAACCTGTGGATGACTTTTGGAATTCTAACGTAAATGTTACTATTTGTTATTATATATATATATATATATATAGGTAATATAGTATGTTAGAGCTGATGGTGTATACGAGTATTTTTTTTTATGTAAATACGAGTATTTTTAATAATACATGTAATCATTAATATTAGTATATACTAAAGCGTTTAAGTTATGATTAAGCTCATCATAAGAGAGTGGAAATGTGATTATTATCTCGTAAATTGCATAATGCTACTAATGGATTCAAAACTCCTTGCAGTGTAGACATCATTACATGCGAAGTTGAGTTGTAACACTAAAAGTGTGCAATGTTTGGATTATGATAGGCATTTAAAAATAATATTATTTTAGATTAATTGTATAATATTTATAGAAATAAAATATATATGTGACAAATTTAAATTATTCGAAATAAATAAGAAATATAACAATTAAAAAATTAAAATAAATCGAATCTAATAAATAACGGTAATAGATGTTTATGTGATGTGATTATTCTGAAAATGGTTGAAAATAGAGCCCGACTTTCGGTGAGTTTGTCAGTTTCCTAAAAAGAAATAAAAAAGGCAAACTTCAATGACTGTTGCTTCCATGTGAAGATTTGTTTTTTTTTTTCGACTTTTTTCTTTTTCTTCGATGCTCTCTTAGATTCTTTTATCATATTCAATAACAATGGAGGGTGCAAATTCACGTAATCACATCATTCAAGATACAATTTTACATTTTTATAATAAAGTCTTCATTCTACATTATTTCAGATAATATACATTCGAATGATAATAAACTTATTCATATTATTTCGGACGATATATGTTCATATATATTTTTCTATAGAAAGAAAATGAAGGAATAGCAATATATGGATTTAAAAAAAAATAATCCTTGGATGTATTCTAGTTTTTTTAATCTATTTGTATTAGATTATAATATTAACTTATTATTAATAAATAGTTTTAAAGAATTTGGCGAGACTTCAAATAAAGAAATATGACATGGCGCGGTTTTATATTCTTTAACCTTTGATTTATGATTTAAATATAATAAATCCAAATCCCGAATTTATAATAATCAAATCTTAAATCTATGATCAATCATAGTAAATTAGTAATGATAATTAATAATCTCCGGCTCACTGAACTACGACGCTTCTACAAACTCCACTTTTCAACTCAAACTCGACTCACTTGTTCCGATCTTGGATCCCGACATCATCGGTTCAGTTCTGTCTCTCCGGTTTCGTCCCAGATTTCCCTCGCCGCCATTCCTGTGATTTCCAAGCTGCATCAGTCGCTCTCCAATGGAGTTCATAAAGAGCTTCCATTGTTCTTCCTCTCTCCTATTCCTCCTCTCAGGTTGCATTCCTTCAACCCTCTCTGCTTTCTCCAGTTTTTCTGAATCTTTCAGCTTTTTGAGTATTCTTGTTGACTGATACGTCGTCGTTTTGTCACAATGTGATGCAGTGGCGGTGATTTTTCCGGCGACGGCGTTTTCTATCGGAGTGAACTACGGTCAGATCGGCGATAACCTTCCGTCGCCGGAAGACGTAGTCCCGTTGGTGAAATCCATCGGAGCGACCAAAGTGAAGCTCTATGACACAAACCCAGAGATCCTGAAAGCATTCGCCGGCTCTGGCGTCGAGTTCATCGTCGGTCTCGGCAACGAGTACTTGTCCAAGATGCGAGATCCTGCAAAGGCACTGTCTTGGGTCAAACAGAACATCTCGCCATTTTTGCCGGCGACAAACATCACCTGCATCACCGTCGGCAACGAGGTCCTCACCTTGAACGACACCTCCCTCACCGACAACCTCGTACCGGCGATGCAGGGCGTCCGCTCCGCCCTTGTCGCCGCCGGCCTCGACAAGCGAGTCGCCGTCACCACCGCCCACTCCCTCTCCATCCTCCAGACATCTTTTCCGCCCTCCGCCGGCGAATTCCAACAGGATCTCGTCGGCTGCCTGAAACCCATCCTCGAGTTCCACCGGAAAACCGGGTCGCCTTTCCTGATCAACGCGTACCCGTTCTTCGCCTACAAAGCGAACCCTAAACAGGTCTCGCTCGATTTCGTGCTGTTTCAGCCGAATCAAGGGGTGGTGGATCCGGCGACGAATCTCCACTACGACAACATGTTGTTCGCTCAGATCGACGCGGTGTACTCGGCGTTGTCGGCGGCGGGTTACAGGTCGCTGCGAGTTCAGATATCGGAGACTGGTTGGCCGTCAAAGGGAGACGCCGACGAGTTCGGAGCGACGCCGGAGAATGCGAGGAGGTACAACGGGAACCTGATGAAGATGATGATGGGCAAAAAGACCAAAACGCCCCTCCGGCCGACCAGCGACCTCGACGTCTACGTCTTCGCGCTCTTCAACGAGAACATGAAGCCCGGTCCCACCTCGGAGAAAAACTACGGCCTCTTCAAGCCCGACGGTACTCCGGCGTATTCCCTCGGTTTCACTCTAAACGACGTCGTCAGAGGGGGCGGCGGTAACAGCAGCAGCACCGCATCCGGAGGAGGAGGGATCACCGGTGGATCCGGCGGAGGGTCCGGTGGAGGAGGAGGAGACAAGACGCCGGTGGCGCAGGAGAGCTCGTCGACCGGTTATCTGTCCATTTCGTCTTCTCCGGTAAGCCTCTATGCATTTTCACCGTCAAAGTTTCGATCTTTTTTATTATTATTGTTTCCGATTAGATTCAGTGCGAGTATAGTCTAAATTGAGATCAGAATATTACAAGATTTAGTTTTTTTTTTTATTTTAAATATGGGCAATGTGTAATTAACTTGTGATTGATTTAATGATTTTGCAACACCCAAATCATGATATTCCGTTGATTACAACGACAAGAGATTTTCTAATTCATCTCCTGAAAATTTTTGGATGCTGCTTTTGAAAAGTTTATAGATTACATAGAATGATTTAGATTGCAAAATAGTAAACGAATAAGAGAATCTAAAAGAAAGTGAGATGCTTTGCCATTTGCAGGGGAAAAGGAAAGTGATTGGGGTCGGAGGGGCCCTTTCGTTTGTAATTGTACCCCTTTTGCTTCTTTGAGCGAACAAAACAAGGGTTCAAGTGCTTTGCTTCTGTCCAAAGTCTGCGTCTTTTTACAGACCCTTCGAGTTTGTTTGTTTGTTTTTGTTCTAACGGCTAATTCGGTGTTTCTTTTTCTAAACAATTCTATTTTTTTTTTCCTCATTTAGATAATTCATTATGCACTCATTGCCCATTTTGTGTCACGAACTATGGGATGAATACATTATCTCCCCCCCACGAATTCACATCTGTATTTTTTCGGGTCAATAATAACAGTATTCCATTTCGTTTCTCTTCATTAGACAATAATGAATCCATGTATCATTTTACAAGTCACGCAATTAATGTGACATTGGTCCGCCTATGATGTAAAGGCAAGACGACCCACTATCATACATATATATATATATAAAGCTTCATAACTTTGTGAAAGAATACCCTCTCTTCAGAATTCAGCAGCTTTATGCATCATTTGCTCATAACAACAACTGCTTAGTAGTATCTTATATATTGCACATCCCAAAACAACAAGTGTTTCTCCCATCTCTAAACCACCACTTGCTGTTCTTATCACTTACAGCCCAGAAAGTAAAACATTCTCAGAAGCTAAACCTACCTACCCTTTTTCTGTCTTACCCCAAAACCACACATATAACAGTTTCGGGTTTTACACTATCCGAAGCCCCCTCTCTATTATCATACTTTCTCTTTTTAACCAAGAGGACTGTCTTAACAAAGAAAGAATAGGGTCACCCACCTGTGACAGTGAGCTGAGACCAATGAATCTTCAACAAAGCATCGAACTTGTGCAAGTCCATTATCAGTCTGATGATGAATCTTCAACAGGGCAGCAAACTCGTGTTGTGGAAGTTAAAGCCTTTTTCCACCTAATCCAAGTCTGCGCTCCTCGACGTCTCGACAGACCGACCAGTCAGGGATTCATCTCTCACCCTTTGATAGAACAACACGTATGCAGCCGAGGTCTTGATTTCAGATTCACTTACGGGAGAAACATGGCCGTCATCGAAATGGTACCATTGGTTGTCATCAATCAACTGCAGGAACAGCCAACCATTGTTAGGAAAGAAGCCATTAAAGGCATATGAATATGCATATGCACAAATGTGACAAAAAAAAAATTGATGATTAAGTAACTCTGTAACTTTTATGATGTTGACAAAGCATGCACGAATATGACAACATGAAGGTTGGGCGACTTGTCTATTTTTTTTACAACAATGGTGACACATACATTCACAAATGTCATAAAGTGGAACAAAAGAAAAGGACATAACCGACAGAGTAAAACTATTCTGACAGTGAGACAGAGGAAAGCAAAATCAGAATAACGACGGGAGATCAAGCCACCAACCTTAGCATATGCAGTGTAATGACCACCGCCCAGGCCACCGTAATGATTGCTAACAGCATACAGCTCATAAACGTATGCCTCACCGTCCTTGTTTTTTACATACTTCCTCAAGTCTAGATCGTGAATTGGGAAATTGACAAATGTATCAATCTTATTCTTCAGATATCTGCTATACGTGAATCGTTTCAGGTGGAACACAAGAATATCTGGCAACTTCCACAAGTCTAGCTTTTTGCTGGCTTGTCTATGCTCCTTGCAATGTGGGCAATACCTGGTTCAGGACAATAACAAAACTGTCAAAAGCCCAAATCATAATTGCTTGGTTCAGCTGATACAGTCACGAATTCAAGTGACGATTAAGTACCACATATCATCTGGTCCCAGAGGTTCCTCTGCTAAAAAGGCTTCTAAGCATGAAAACAAAGATATAGCTTCTTGTCTTGTTTTCTTCGCGGAGAAACTTGTTTTGTGGACCTCTGGCAGGTCATTTAAGTAGCAGCTGTCATATTTTTCCTGCTCGTTCTCATTCCACTCAACCCAAACCCTTGTAATACTTCCCGGATTCACAACAGACTCAGACTGAAGTGGCTCGACGTTCAAACCACGTTCGTCCGTCAAGAATAATCTGAAGGATAATTCTCCATCAGTTGCATCCTCTAACTCAGTATCTGTAGATGAGAAGCTTCCAGGTAATTCATCATCAGCTTCAGGAAGATAGCCGTTTTCTTTTCCGTTATTGACTTTAGATGATGTATGAACCCGCTGTAAAGGTGAAAGCAATCTAGAGACGATTGCCTCAATGTCAGTTCCACTTAGTGGTTCTGCATTGATATAAGTGACAAGAGGAGTGCCAAAAAACATCATGTCTCCACCTCTAGAGCTCTCCAAAATAGACCTGCCAAACCAGGAAGTTTTAATTCATACTTCATAGAAACCCACCTCCAGAGAAAGAGGAAGAATGGTTCTCTTGAACAACAAATAAACAACTATGCTAACCTTTCCTGCCTTCCGTGAAGGATTTCGAGTTTGGCTTTTCCCAACCCTTTCTGTGTCTGGTTAAACCGATATGCCACAATATGCTCATCATCTTTTATTACGCTCAATGACTCTAAGGGATTCTCAAAATATCTAAAGATCTTGTGATCATAGACCTGGGAAGATAATCTCACGCTATAGTTATGACTTTGAAACAAAAAGAGCAACAAGGATATATAAGAAAAGGGTCGGGTTAAAAGCGATACCTCAGCAAGCAGAAGGCTCTCGTCATTGTTTAAGCAGCATGCAGTGCCTAAGGCAACATTGAGATCTCTACAAGAACCATGCTTAGGAACTGTTACAGTGTACGGCATTGGCAGGTGGCTTCCATCACCATAAAACACTGTCACTGTCATTGATCGAGTAAGAGTTGATGGTAATGGCAGTGACAAGTACATGAATGGGTCAAAGGTGATAGAAATCTTTCCACAGTTTGGGCAAACCAGTGTTGACTTGTATTGTCCCTGAACAGAAGTCCATACGACATAAACTGTCATGAAAGGATAAAAAACTCAGAAAGTTAAAATTCAAGGGGAAAGGAAATCAAAAGCTGTAAGAACAATTCTCACTTGGCAGACATCAACTATAACAGAATCATTTCGGGCCTTGTGATAGTTCCAACACTCTTCCGCAACTTCTTCATCTGGACGACCATCTGAATCTTTAGCCTCAATGTAAGGTTTTCGTTTTACCTTGTTCAAATCTTCATGCAGGCCATCCAATAGGAAAGCAAGCAGTTCCTGATACGAATGTGATTTGATAGATGATACACAAGGAAAATTAAAAAAAAAAGTTTCTAACGTCTAAGGGGAAGTCAAGACCAGCAAAAATGACTTACTTGAGAATCATGCTGATTATAGCCACTAAACTGTGGAGCAAATCGAGCAAGTTTTGTCTTAAAAGTGCGTGGTACAACTGCATTCCGTCCAGATGACCACAATTTCCTCAACAACTCTCCAAATGCAAGAGCAAGTTCACCCTGGGTAGCTAAGCGTTAGAGATTATATTTAAATTGCATGTGAACAGTCTCACATAAAGACCAACAAAAAATATGAAATCCATGAAACACTTACACACATTCCCAAGGGATTCTGTGTATTTAGGTCATCACTGTAATCTTGCAAGAAATATTCAACGATTGGTGGTGTATGGGCCAAACACTGAAGAGCGCTATTCATGAAGCAAGTATTTCCCAAATTCTGAAGTCCAGCTAGACCCCCTCTCTCACCTTTGCCAAGACTACAGACATCATTTTCAGATGAACTTTTCCGAAAGAAACTAAAGTTTGAGCTATTTGAGTGATTATTGGATAAGGTAGGACCCCCAGCAATCGTAACAGTTGACCTTGAAGGTTCTAGAGGTACCAGAGCTAAATCATTTCCCGTTGCGCCTGTACTATATTGAGAAGAAGAGGGCTCATCAACTTCCAAAAGAATCTGCGTGGAATGAAAAGAATCGATCCATAAACAAATACAAAATTGAAACCGAGCAGAAATGAGGGTTCATTCATTAACCGCATAAAATCTCAAAAAGGGAGAAATGAAGAACAAAATATCTAGAAGAAAGTCTAGACGAACATAACGAAGAATCTATCCAAAGAGTTCAGCTCAATCAGATATGTGCTAAGGAAGATCCTACCAAAGAATAAAAGATCCGATTTTCTAGATACTTACATGTTGGTCCATTTGAAGGCTCGACTCCTCCAAGCTCTTATTAGATGACGGTTCCAAGAGTACACCTTTCTGCTTATTGAAGTAATCCCAGATTCGAGCCTGCTTTTACATATACAAACAAAGCAAAGATAAAATCTCTGAATTACATGACGGGATATCTCATCGACAACAAAAAGGAAAAGTGGAAAACTTCGAATATGCACCTTTTCTTGTGCTACCCCTTTAAGGGCACACACCTTCGCATAAAGGTCAGTTACAAAAGCCTGGCACATCAACAATCCATATAAAAAGTGGGACATAGATGGGGTAATATAGTTAAAACAAAGACAGCCTTTGGCTCTGGAAAGCACACCCAAAGATGGTTTAAGGAGGATGAATACAGCAAAGAGCAAGAAAAACTCTGGTATGAGAAGATTATATACCTGCTTGCTCAACCTTATAACAGTGTCACTACCATCTCGTCCATCAGTCAATGTAAGACAGAGTGGGTAAACTTCTACGCTATAACTCTTACTGTAAAACCCTTGGCAGATCATCTTCCTTGGTAACGGAGGACCTCCTTTATACCTGGATAATACAGAATCTGATTAAGCAAAGCCTCATAACCAGTAACCACAGATGCAAGAGAAGAACAAGAACATAAGCTAAGAGAATAAATGAGTTCTATAGCCTTAATGACATCCACAACAGCTAGTTTCACAAGCAAGACAGTTATTTACAGAATGATTTCCACATTATATACTGTAAACGACAGACAGAAAAATCACCATTCTACAAGTTTTGTCCAAACTTCTTGAGGAACTAGGACATAGTCAATCCCTTCCTCTAACATCCTACGAAGCTGTGGATCACTAGTATCGCTTCCACTTTCAACAATATCAAAATTGTCAATTGGTCCAGGCCTTGTAACCTCCGAAGGCTCTCCACTTGGACATTCATCAGTTGATAAGCCTACATATCTTTGCCAGCTTCTGTACCATCTGCACTGACACAGAGATATTAAACACAACTAGAAGTGGGTGAGATATACAGGAATGGAAAAAACAGGGAAGGAGAAACGCATATCTAAACTTGAGACAAACACAAACATTGTCTTCATAAAGGGAGGGACCAATAATACATGATCCGAAACAAATCTTGCTCGGAAAGGTTTTTCGAACTGATGAAAATCACACATGATCTAATGCCATCCTAGATTTGAACAAGGAAGTGATCAGCAACAACAACAAATTCCTCTTGAGGAAATTAGCACAAGAACTAGCAACTGTGGATTAAACGCTGCTCAGAAAGTATGCGTGATATCCTGCTAAGATTATGAACCCAGTAAACACTTTTTAAGTAAAATCAAGTAAAAATAGAAATCCTTCAACTTCTAAGAAGTATATGTATATTGCAAATTTGCAACCGCCAACAAACAAGATCACATTGCTAAAGAATTCGGAATAAGAAAAGTAGAAGACCTGTTGGAGATCACGAAATACAAGTTTCCCTCCATCAAATTGACATCTGATTCGCTCGCAAGCTCCGTCACGATACGTCTCTCTTCCTCGGGAGTGCGCGGCAAATCGCAGTCTCCATTGTCCGTCATGAATCCGGAATCAGGGATCGTCATCGTCGGCGAATCACACTGCAAAAGCAACCAACGACGAGAAAAGGGTCAAGATCCAATGAATCAAGAAAGCGAAAAACACCGATCACGAGAGCAAGATTCGAGATTTGAATCGGAATCGCCGGAAATTCAACGAGAACAGAAAAACGACCGGTTAAACGTACAGTGGGATTGGATGGAGCCGACAAAAATCGAGAAATTGAGGAAAACCCAAGTCCAGAAAAACCGAGAGAGAACTTTTTCCTCTGTCAAAGCAACAAATTACGACAAAAAGAATTCAATCAAAGAAAGGGAAAGGGATATTCGGAGGAACCCTAGATTTGAGGAGAAAAATACAGAGAGAGAGAGAGAGAAATCGAACCGCCGAGGAGAGAATTCGACATATGTAAGGGGAGAAGCTTTTGTTGGATTCACGATCCCTTTTATGGCCTGTGATCGCCTCCAATAAACGACCAATCCGAAGCACCATTTTCAATCATTTTTCTTTTTTATATATATAATATGATTTGTATGCGTGCATATACATTTATTTATACAAATATATGATGGCTGTCTTGTAGAAGAATGAATTTATATGCCGTTTTCATTTCATTTATTAAAAAAAAAAAGTTACAAGCTTTGGGAAGCAATGGAGAAATAGGGAAAGGGCAAAGTATTTTACTTCCCTTTGGCCGTAAGATTTCATCATCAGGTGGCGTAAATCTGTGGGGATTTGGTATTGTGACAATGTGATTCGTATGTTCTTCTTTTTGGTATAAAGCAAATCCAGCATATAATTTGTTTTTTTTTACTGAATTTACCCCCATATATATATATATTGAAAATTTGAAATAGAAACAAAATATATAGATTAGATATTATTGATAATAATTTAAGACAATATTAATTGAGAATAAAATATTTCTTATTTTTGTTTTTTCTCATTTTTTTTTGTTTTTCAATAATTTTTATTATAAATGTATAATCATTATAATGTAACAAGAAAAAAAAAGATAATAAAAATAAAAGTTATTCCTTTCATTTTCATTTAATTTTTGTATTTTATTTTTCAATAACATGTTTCTTTTTGTTTGCATAAAAGTCATGGGATTTGGATAATTTTCTAATTAGATAAAAAAAAATTACCGAAAAACTTTGTTAATCTTCGAACAATTTTATCAAGTTTTCAACTGTTGGAAAATAATATTTTTCATGTCAAGAAATGTTAGGTTTTGTTTGGTTACAATTAATTGTGATTGATTAAAAAACTCCAAAAGAAAATATGGCATCGTCTTCCTGCTTCCTTTTCTTTCCACTCGAATTCGTCCTGACCAGTGGCTCGAACCAGACTGTTATTTTATAGGTTAAAAACAGTGGATCTTGTGACCAGTGGTTTGAACCAGAGTGTTGGAAATGGGACCACGGTCAAGGAGCCGGCGAGCCCATTCATGCCTCAAATAGACATCATATTTTTTTGGTAACTACAAATTAGCCACCTTTTTTCCTCAACATAAATTTAACACACAAGAAAGAATTCAAATTTAAATTCGTACAAGTTTAATTTAAGCCATAAAGAATATTAAATATATTTAAAAATTACGCAAAAGAACGATGACGATTAAAAAACAATAAAAAAAAATTGGAAAGGGGAGAGAATTAGATTAAGCATCGACCGGGCATGCGCCACATTGCACGTTTAATTATGTGTGTGTGTATATATATATATATATATATATATATAGGTAAGACAATTTTGTGTATGCATTAACTGTTACAGCTACCTCTCACTGTTGTGAGGGTTTTAATTAGTCACACCAATTTCTCATTGGAAAAATAAATTATTAGTAAATGTCTTTGTCCTAATACATTTATATTTTGTAATAAAGGATTTATTATTATCCAATTACATTATAAATAAAAATGATCAACGAATCAAGTCAATATCTGTTTCGTATAAACAAATACACAAACATTTATAATTTCGTACAAATGCTGCTTGCTTGCAACTACATGTAAGACAAAAGAAAAAAAAAACTTATTGGATGCCATATATATTCCATGCCTCTACATATGGCCCCATATATCGAAATGCTGCTTAATTCTGTACATTTGTATTTTTTAGTCAACTACATAAAAATATATAAACAATAACCATTATTACCAGGAAACAAAATCAAAATTTGTAGTCCTTTTAGCAAATATTGTATCAAACACTGCTTTGGTGTTTTATATTTGAGTTGCAACGTTAAAAAAAACTCAATGTTGTTGTAATTCTAGTTAATAAATCGTCAAGTTTACAAAAAAAAAATCTTGTATGTTTTTAATCCTTGGAAGGTTATCAATCGTTTTTTTAATTTCCACGGTGGTGAAAGATAAACTCTGAGCATACATTTGTTTTTTTTTTTGTTTTTTTTTTTGTAGAAACTCTATAAATTCAGATTTTATTTTGGAAACTAGAAATAGGAATTGTAGATTCGGGATTCAGACAACGAAGAATGGACTCTATTTTTGATTTCAACCGCAGTTAAAAATAAAACCATGAGTAATCACATTTGGGTTTGATCTCCTTGCAATGTTCCCGTTCTCGAGGAGCCTGCTAATCATCTGACCGATCCATTTATTCCTAGTGATCCTCGGGTTTTACTCTTCTTTCTCTCCCATGGCGGCTCTGTTCTGTTAGACCCATCGCCTGATTCTCCTCCTTTTTCTTTTTCTCGTTCGTAAATCTCTCTCAGTTCGCTCGATCGGTTGTGGGCTCCTTGAAAAATCCGAAATTTTCTCGAGTTCGTTCCTGGGTCTTTCGCTTTCCGAGTTCTGATCATGGCGGTCGTTGAGAACGGAGGTGCTGATGCTGGGGCCGGCGTGATCTCTTCGTCACCGCCGTCTTCGGTGGCGAGTCAGGACTCAAACCTGTCTTCCAACGACCAGGCCCACCAATCGAGGATCGAGCTCGGTTTTCACCAGAACGGCGGCGGTACAATTCTCCAACACGATCAAGGCGGCATCTACGGCAAGATCGGTCCGCACGTGGAGAGATCCGACGGCGCCGGCGGCGGAGAGAGCTTCAAGCGCGAGATGAGGGAGCTTCAGGAGCTCTTCTCCAAGCTCAACCCCATGGCTGAGGAGTTTGTTCCTCCATCGCTGGTCAAGCAAGGCGTTGACGGATTTAACGGCGTCAATGGAGGTTTCATCACCGGCTTCAACTCGTTCATGGGCAACTACGGCTTTGCTGCCCCCGCAAACGGTTCCATCAACGGCGGGTTTCGACGGGTAAGACTCCGGTCTCTCTCTCTCTATCTCATGCGTCATTTCGGCGTTTGTGAAGTAAATTTCGCCAAATGATTCTATGGTTTTGGAGTTGCGATAGCATAGACATTAGTACTGAACAAATCCTTTGTTGTTTTCCTCCTGGGCGCTTCGTCTTTGTCTCTTCCTTCCTTCACCGACTCTGTTGTTTTGAGATTATGATGTAGATTTCGCCATTTTTGGGTAGGAGTTTGGGGATATCCAAAGTTATGGATCAAAGTCTCTGTCTCACTTTTCCCTCCTGGAACTCCAAAGCTGGCTGTTTTTGGTTTTGATAAGCATATGAAAAGCTTGTAATTCTGTTGTTTGAATGTGCTCTGTTTGTTTTTTCCTTCACATTAAGCGGCTTCCTTGGACGCTGTATGCAAAGTATTCTTCATTTCAGCGAGACTCCCATACTGTTTTCTCGCAGAAGAAGAGTTTCGGGCAAGGGCAAAGGAGGATCAACAGTCGGACAAACATAGCTCAAAGGGAAGAGATCATCCAGAGAACTGTCTATGTCTCTGATATTGACCATCAGGTTAAAAAGCTTGAACATTTCCTCTTGGATTCTTCTCGGACTGTCCATCTCTTGCACCTTTCCATCTATACTTCTATGTAGTTTATTTATTTTTATTAAATTTTTTGTATGTCCGGGTCTATATAGGTCACTGAGGAGCAGCTTGCTGGTTTGTTTGTCAGCTGTGGACAGGTAAATCTCTTTGGGGTGTCTATATAGGTACTCCATGTCTTGCTTGGGCCATGCTTTGTGTTAACTGCTTAGTTTTAGCAGGTCGTTGATTGCCGTATATGTGGTGACCCTAACTCGGTCCTTCGCTTTGCCTTTGTCGTGTTCACTGATGAAGGTATCAGAAAGAACTTTAAATGTCTGACTTTGTATGCTGCAGCAGTCTGTCAGGTGGTTATGTGATGTTTTTCTTGGTGGTTTGATTTCGTAGAGGGTGCAAGGGCCGCTCTGGACTTATCTGGGACGATGCTGGGATTCTATCCGGTTAGGGTTCTGCCCTCCAAAACGGCTATTGCACCGGTTAACCCGACCTTCTTACCGAGGGTGAGATTTTTTTCTTGTACTCGTGTGATTACGAGGCATAGCTCCGGTTCTTTGACTCAGAAAATGATCTGTTGCTGTTTGGATTCAGAACGAAGATGAACGTGAGATGTGTGCGAGGACTATTTACTGCACTAACATTGACAAGAAGGTGTCTCCCTTATATCATTCTCTCGTTATAAGTGATTCATGGTCTTTAGTCATATAAGTTCAACCCGAGTTATGATCTCCTTTCTGGTGCATGATACAATGGTGTTTACTACAGGTCACTCAAGCAGATGTGAAGCTCTTTTTCGAGTCTGTTTGTGGAGAGGTTCGTGACGGTTATCTCTACACAGTTGCTATGAAGATGAAACAAAAAAACGCATTTTTTCACCTGCTTGAATACCGGTAACTGTTATGCAGGTGAACTGCCTGAGGCTGCTGGGAGACTTTCATCACTCAACTCGTATTGCTTTCGTAGAGTTTGTGATGGTAAGTGGGTTAATTTCTCGACTCATCGCTTACCGGTGTTCCATATTAACTAGAATTCAGAAAGTTCACCGATGAATCTCGCCACAGGCTGTGATTCAAAGCACATATTAGGTTTGTGTGGTAAAGGATCGATTTTCATATGACCCACCATCAGTTCCTCTCTGTTTTATTCTTTTAATGCTGAAAATGACAGCAAACAAGCTTCTAAGAATCTTTTCTCCGGCGTCGTTTCAGGCAGAAAGTGCAATAGCTGCTCTCAACTGCAGTGGTGTTGTTCTGGGTTCGTTACCGATAAGGTAAGAGAAGAGACAAAACCCATCGGCTCGGTTCCGATATCTCTTTTCTTTTCCACATGGATCGTGTAACATTTTCAGCTCTTGTTTCTTTGATGGTCGTTAATTATATCAGGGTGAGCCCCTCGAAGACCCCTGTTCGTCCTCGTCACACAAGACATCCATTTCACTGATACTTAGCTGCAGGTTCACCAGACATATATATACATGCCTGTTAGACTATATATATATATATCTCCCTCTTTCTCTCTCTCTCTCTCTCTTACAAAAACTGCCATGTAAAGATGGTCTGCAACTCTGGTCTCTGCCTGGGAACCAGTCTTTTGGTAATCTCCTTCTTGGGTAGTTTTAATGTCTGGAACTTAGAACAGAACACACGGAGCAAGAATCCACCTCGAGGGTTTTGGAGATGTGTGTGTGTGTGTATATGACACATATATACACATACATTGTCTTTACGTTTTTGCCATGGCTCATTTGGACACATTTATGGAACATTTGCTTTTGCAGTGAGAGAGAGGCCCTATACCCATTTGCTTTAGATATTATCACTTAGATTATGAAGCGTGTGTGGATATATGTACATATACATATATACATATACATATATATATGTATGTCTCATCTGTCCTACTTGTTTGCCATTGAGAAAGCGGGTTTAGTGTATGGATTCAATAGACATCGAATTCTACCTCCGAGATTGCGATAATGAAAAAACTTTCCTTTTTTTTTTTAATGCATCATATCATTTATTATTCCGCACAATAATTTCGTTCCTCGGTGGTTAAGAGATCCACATGAAATTCGTTCTACACAAAATATCTTCTAATCTCCTTTTTACCCTTTTCCCATAATTGAATGACCTTTTGATTGTACACATCAACCTACGGTTGGCCGTTTTAAATAAGACTGGACCCCCTACCATTCATATGTACGTTACGCATGCATGTATTAATGCCTTGTAAACCTACCATGCATCCACATGAAAGAAAAATCGTTAGTTTCGCAGCAATATATACATATATATATATATATATGTTGTTTTGAGGTATAGAACCTTATTTTGATGTTTTTCGGCGTTCAGATTCAAAAATCGAAAATCTCGGATACCCGATCCAGGTTAGCAAGATTGCTAGTTAGAAAAGGAAATGACTGGAATATGTAAACTTTGCTAATTTATTAGCAAGAGTCGGTAGGGACAGGCGGTCTCGAGTACTATCATCATAGAAAAAACAGCTGCTTGTGTTTCGTAATAATCAAATCAAATGATAGGCTTTAATCAAAATCACTATTAATAACTCCTCATAAAAAGCTGGATTTGAAACTGTTACATCTAATCGTACATTGCTCAGAAGATAACAAGGCATATGAACATGGCTGAAACTCGAGGGAAGATCATCACTTGCAAAGGTAAGTAATTCATACATACTCGTGTGTGTATGTGTGTGTGTGTATAAATGTGAATGGTGATGACTATATATACATGCATCATTCATCTGTTTGAAGCTGCCGTGGCATGGGGCCCGAAAGAGCCGCTTGTTATACAAGAAGTCTGCGTTGAACCTCCTCATAAAACGGAGGTTCGTCTCAAGATCCTGTACTCCTCCATCTGCCATACTGATCTTGGTGCTTGGACCGGAGAGGTATAACTGATTTACATCAAACCTCTCGTAATCCATTGAGATTATTAAAGTTCTATATATATGCCCTTTATTCACATTACGTTTATGTATCAAAGAAGGAAGCTCAACGAGCATTTCCACGGATTCTTGGCCACGAAGCTGTCGGGTATCGTGCTCCAAATTCCCTATACACACACACACACACACTCAATCTCTATGCATTTCTATGCATTTCTTGGACATAGATGCTGATCAATATATAACGATTATAGGGTTGTGGAGAGCGTAGGAGAAGGAGTAGAAGATATAAAGGAAGGAGACTACGTTATACCGATATTCAATGGAGAATGCGGAGAATGTGAGGTCTGCAAGCAAAAAGATAGCAACTTGTGCGAGAAATACCGGGTGGATCCGATGAAGAAAGTGATGGTCAGCGATGGAAACCCGAGGTTCTTCACCAAGGATGACTCACGACCCATCTTTCACTTCTTGAACACTTCTACATTTACCGAATACACGGTTTTGGACTCGGCTTGTGTCGTCAAGATCGATCCCAATGCCTCTCTCATACACATATATATACACACACATACACATATCACCTACACGTACACACAAGAAAAACTGGCCATTTTCGTCATAGGTGTTGTAGGCACAGTCGAACACACACGGATATATATATATATATATATATATATATATATATATACACGCACACAGATACACACACAAGTCCAGTATACAGATTGTGTCGATCTTATCTGTTTTTGCTGCATACCCTTCACTAATGAGGGAAATGACAATATACTGATATAACTTTGATTACATATATATATATATATATATATATATGCATCATGCATGACGTTAATGTGGATGACCAGTCAATACGTCCATGGTACATTACACTTTTTCCTCACCAGAAAAACTTTGAAATCAGAATGAAATCATGTGTGGGAAGCTCTTGTATCGGCCACAAAACTATTCTATGCATCAATATATATGTATATACATATATATATACAGACATATATATCATGTAACTCGACGTTACATGCCATATAAACAGAGGATAAAGGAGGTCACAGGAGGTGGTGTAGATTACAGCTTCGAATGCACAGGAAACGTTGATGTTCTTCGCGAAGCCTTCTTATCAACTCGAGCTGTAAGTAAATACAGCCGTGTAATAAGCGATAACCGGTATTTTTTCAATAAACGGTTAATGCAAACCGGTGCGAATGAAATCACCTGATCTCAGTCAGTTAATGTAAGCGAGATAGATGGATTGCAGGGATGGGGGATCGACGGTGCTGGTGGGCGTATACCCGACGCCGAGAACACTGCCTCTTCATCCCATGGAGCTTTTCGACGGCCGCACCATCACTGCCTCTACCTTTGGCGGCTTCAAACCCAAATCTCAGCTCCCACATTTCGCCGGTCAATGCAGGCAAGGGGTCAGTCTCTCTACACTTCAAATTACTCAAATTTTACCATTTCAATTCATTAAAGAAAAAAACGTATTTGTGGGCGAGTGGTCAGCAGCGGTGTGCAAAGCATTGAGAGCTTGGCGGTTCGATTCCTCGTTGGGGAGGGGTTTTCACATGGACTGTCTCGATCCTCTGGAAGATGTAGTTGGACTAAAGGCCCGGTAAACTTTCGGATTACCAAAAGAAAAAGAAAAAACGTTAATATTGTCGTAAGTATGTGTAACACCATCAGAATGGGTTTAATCCTTGAACTCGATTCAGAATCTGATGGAAATTCATACTTTGGGAATGGTATTAATTGTTGTTTTATATTAATCAAAGGGTCTATATATATACATATATATATAAAGAACTGACTACCAACAAATCGTGATATATGAGTATTAGCCATGTTTTTTTTATAAATAGGTATTAGCCATGTTTCTAATGGAGATAACTTTTTTTTATAAGGATCTAAATTTAATTAGAAATCATTTCTAAAATTTATTTTGGCAGAAAAAGTGAGAGCTATATATATTCTAATCCTATAATTAAATAGTTTACAGTCTAAAGTTAAATTAAAAATTAAAGGCTTGAAATCATATATCGTTTCCAAATTATTTGATAATTAATGAAATGAAACGTGCAGGTAGTGAAATTGGAACCTTTCATAACCAACGAGCTTCCCTTCGAGCAGATAAACGACGCGTTTAAGCTCCTTCGCGATGGCAAAACTCTTCGATGCCTTCTTCGAATCTCCAAACATCTCATGAAATATCTATTCTTGCTCCTTTTTTAAAAGAATAATTATAAATTATTATTATTATTAGGAAAAATCTAAAAAAAAATACCTAAACTTGTCAATTTTCACAAAATAAAACCTCAAACTATTTTTTATCAAATAAAACTCCAACTTTATTTTTTAGATAAAAATAAATCTGAATTTTATAATCGTTATCATTTTTAAACTTGAATACTGACATAGCATACAGATATATTATGTGGTAAATCAATATTTTGACCATATTTGACACGTCGTCATTTATATATCGCAATATCGTTACGTCACATCAACGATCAATTTAAAAATAATAATTGTTATTTTGTGAAAATTAACAGGTATTTTTTTAGAATTTTTCTTTATTATTATTTGTGTGAATTTTATTTTATATCACTTAATTTAAATGATAAAATGGAATTTGCAATTTAATCATTCTTTCTATGTGTGTGTGTATATATATATATGTGAACATGTAATCTAACGTTTTCTAACCTGACCAACTATCGTCATGGCATCCGTCTAGTATACTTCCAGTTAAGTGCCTGCGTTCAATTAGGGTTGAATCTTACATATAATACTTTATGAAATCCCTACATTATAAGATGCGACCATATAATAATAAAACATAATTGAATAAATCCACATAAAACATATGACTAATTACGTCACTATGAGCATGCCTTTACATGACAAAGGAAAATATTGTCGAGTTGCTTGACATGCAAACTTTGCTCAGCTTCACCAACCAAAACAATTTCATTGGACTTTTCGATTATTTATTATTTAATTATTGGTTATTAATTAATTAATTAATTGATTTTAAACATATTCCTCTGTGTTTCTCTTTTTATTATCCTCTTCGGCATTCTCTTGCTGCCGTCACGACATACATCATAAGCAACTATAACCATAAGTAGAGCGCAGTCAAACGTATTAATGGAATTTGGTGCAACAGAAAAAAGAATAAATAAAATATGAATATTCTCTTACATTTTTTTAAAAAAAAAAGCTTTCTACCGTAATATATATGGTTAATTAATCATATTTCCAATAAGAATAAACAAACCTTTTTTTTTGTTTTGGTTAAGGATATTTCTATTCAATCTTAGAAGAAAAAAAACATATTCACTCAATTTTTATATTGAATTTCGGTTCAATTTTGAATTGTTTCACTTTGTTTTTTCAAAACTTATCCTTAAAAAAATATATTTCCGTTTTTTGTGATTCAAAGTAAAAATTGTTTCAATATGTTCTAACATTACAAATGAAAGAAAAAACATAGTAAAATTCGCATTGTTACAAAAAAAAAATCGCATCCGAATAATAATATTATTGTAAGAGCTCAAATTTAATATAGAGCATATATATATATATGGAAATCCGGAATCACGATTAGAGAAAGTGCAAGGCGGCAAAGAGGTCAAATGTCCTTAATCATGTAGAATTTGTTATTCCATCAATTTGTAACCAAAGCATGATTAACCATAGAATTTAGGAAATTAAAGCATCATTATTGATGTTGAAACACATTAGACCCCATCACTCGCAAAGTCTTCACCACAGTACCCTGTGGACCGCATCTCCCTCTCCTTTTGTTTTTTCATTTTATTATTTGCTAGCAAAATAAAAGCATACATCTTGGCCTTATTATATATGTTTTTTTTCACATGCTTAACCCCCACATTTTACGCATAATATAATATAATATTATACGAAACTTAAATAACCTAACAATTTCTTGCAAAAATTTCGAAAAGTGTGAGAGAGTGAGTGAGAGAGGACTTGTGAAAGCTCAGTGTCTCCCATCGTCTTTTTCGTTGGGAGTGGTTGCTCCACCCTAACCCTTCATCTTTACACATTATATATATATATATATATATGTGTGTGTGTGTGTGTGTAATGTGTGTGGGTGTGGGTGTGTTTTCCTCAATGTTTTCCATTGTATCGTTTGACCGTTTGTTTTGGTTTGCATTGGCTAAAAAACACCGAGTTTCACGTGAAAATTGACAATTACGTATACCATTTACTATACAATATGGTGTTTTATCGTTCATGGTCGTATATATGTCGGTCGATATTTTGCATTCTTATATGCATTTCGGGCGATCTTTATATCGGATAGGCTCATAAACATGTGACAGTATAGACCTATAGAGATTTCATGGTTCCATATAAATGCCACATCTTTATATTTTGTTTCGATGGCAGATGAATCCATATATATAACATGAATCCATAAAATAACAGACAAAATGGGGATCTCTCCCAGCTCTTGTGGTTTGAGAGCTCACTTTCCTGAGGTCGTGAGTTCAACATCCAGAGTATGGAGATTTTCCCACCTGCTACCTTCGGATGTCTCACTCCCCACGGGTGTGTTGCAGGGTCGCGTTCGTGGGTCGGGATTAGTCTGGATCTCTAGGCCTGAGATTACCCGGTTATAAAAAAAAAAGCAGACAAAATGAAGGAAATTATTTTAATGAAACGTTTTTGAAAAAAATTGAAATTCTATATTTTTACCATTTTTATCTTAGTTTTTTCTATATATATATATATATATATATGCGAATTCAGGACATCTGATATACAGAGTAACTATTAATAGCAGACACTGCGAAAAACGTGCGAAGTGAATAGTTGATATTTTTTGACGGCGGATGCCCAAAAGATTTGTATAATCGAGTTTAGCATTTGATTGAGCCCTCAAATTTATTCTCGATATTATAAATATATTTGGATCCAGTAGCTTTCACTAAATCTGAAATGGTTTACCAATAATTAAATACAACACATTTATTGTTTCATGTACTAATTAAATAGAATATTCGAAAGGGTATAATGCAACATTAAATATACATATGGAGGCAATTTAGGGGGGAGAGAGATGTGAAGGTTCGAGTGTCACATTTGTGATAGGCACTGGCCCCCCTCTGTTCACTATATTTTTCAATGTGATGAATTTCAACGTTTTTGTGTCTAAATATTTTATTAAAAAAAAAAACATGAAAACATCCAATAAGATTAATATCCGATTTGCCCCTATTGGTGTCGAAAATACATTAACATCCACCTTATATTAAATTACAAATTTGAATTTTCTTTTATAGTTTGCATGCATGGATCAGACATATATCTAAATTACGTCGAGTATCTTATAAATAGTTATGTAAGGATATAGATATCCCTTTTTTTATTACACCTCGATATCCACTAATTTAATGCTGGATCATCCCAAATCCTAACCACGGAGGAATGCGGCACTTTCTCTTAATTAGTATCATCGTATGTATTGACTTCAACGATATATATTATAGATAACATATATATATATATATATATGCTCACGTCAAACCAAATATGATGTAATGTGTAGAACCTACATAATGCTCATCGAATTCGATTTCAATATGGAAGATATTAATTAGGTAGTTAATTTAATTGGCAGATTATTCCATTTTACACATTTTAATGCGCGGTCCTTTTTTTTTTCTTCTTTCTTCTTTATTATTTTTATTTTATTTATTGGCTTTTGCTCGTCATTTTCCCCCTTTTGGGCCATGTCGTCGTGTCCAACCACCATTATAAAATCATCACTCTTTTTTATTATCCCTACCAAGTACTAACCAATCCACTCACAGATCAAGATCTCCATAAGCTCTCTCTTCTTCCCCCCACACAAGGGAATTAAGTGACTGATCAATGGATCATCCATTAATGCCGGATAGTAAGGTTAACCTGTCCATTAATGGGCAGTCTCACGTCCCTCCTGGCTTCAGATTTCATCCCACGGAGGAGGAACTTCTCCATTATTATCTTCGCAAGAAGGTTTGCTACGAAAAGATCGATCTCGACGTCATTCGTGAAGTCGATCTCAATAAGCTCGAACCTTGGGATATTCAAGGTACGTACTCTTGAAACCCAAATCCTAAAATTTTCTTCTCCTTCTGTTCCTCGTCCCTCTTTCTCTTGTCTGGTATGTCCGATCGAGGTTTTGTCTTGTGCATGTGTACTTTGCATGGTTTCATCTTACGTGGATTTTATTAAAAAAACTCAAATTAAATGCTGTGTGTTCACATTCACATGTTTTGCGCCGGTCTCCGAAACTAATTTGTATCAGTATTAAGATTCAAAATCTCCTTAATTATGGATTATATATGTAAATGTTCTTTAGACTTTTCGTCCGCGTCTTGTTTGCATGCAGCTAAAACTGCTTTTTGAACATATATATTATAATGCTTTACTGAACACTAATTTCTATGTAATTACATCTTTGACATTCTTCATTTGTCCGTAATATTTTTCGATGTGTGAAGCATTATTTTTCTACATATGTATCATACGAATCAAGGACAGTCCATTGGCCTAGTAAATACAGCCAACGTCTGTCGATGTTTTTCTTTTGATATTACATGACTAAAGATATGCTTCCGAAGTCAAACTACAAGAGATGCCATTGATTTTTTGTCTATTTTTTCCTCGTTATTGTAACCAACGTATAATATTAATATATTATCACATTATCACGTCATCCTTTTCTTAACCCACGGGCCCAATCGAGATCTTTGAGATCTTATCTTGTGTTGGTTAGTCACACTATGTATCATTTAGTGAGTTTTTACTGTTTAACTAATCATAGTGAAATTTGAAAATCAAAATTATAGTACGACCACGTAATCACCCGCCATACATGTTGTCGGATGTAGAGAAATGTCGAATTGGTTCGGCGCCCCAAACCGATTGGTACTTTTTCAGCCACAAGGACAAGAAGTATCCGACCGGAACGAGGACTAACCGGGCGACGGCGGCCGGATTCTGGAAAGCGACGGGACGAGACAAGATCATCTGTAGTGGCGCCCGAAGGATTGGATTGAGGAAAACACTCGTGTTCTACAAAGGAAGAGCTCCTCATGGTCAGAAATCTGATTGGATCATGCATGAGTACCGGCTCGACGATAATTTTGTCTTCCCAACTCCTAATAATGTAAGTTGTTACGGTTACAAATAACGAACAGCATGAAATAAAGTTGGTTTCACTTGATTGCACTAAAGTCTCAATCAACTAGGGTAAATGCGTTTTCTTTTTGGTGGTCCACGAACATGATAGAGGAAACTTTCCAATGTAATGCAGGGCTCTGATGTTCTAACTGGGGACTCCATGAGTTGTAATGAAGATGGTTGGGTCGTATGTCGGGTTTTCAAGAAGAAGAACTATCACAAGATCATGGATTCTCCTAGAATCTGTCTATCTTCTTCGGTTCATCCGAATAAGCCGACGTTTCATCCCGAAAACGGCAACGTCTTGGATCAGATTCTTCTCTGCATGGGAAGGACTGGCTCCGACATCTGCAGATCCGAGGATCAGAAGACGAACGGCAACAACATAGGACTGCTCGGTTCGTGCGACGACAACACCGAAGACGTTCTCTTGCATGAGAGTTTCATGCAACTTCCACGTCTAGAGACACCCAAGTCCGAAAACCACCCCGTCGTCAGCGAGAACCGGTTAGGGAAGTCCCCGGTTCAGGAGGAGAGAACCGGACCGGTTAGTGATTGGGCGAGTCTTGACCGGCTGGTGGCTTGGCAGCTGAACAATGGTCATCATCGAATGGTTGACATGTCTGACCGTGATAAATCTTGTTTGAACGATCATCCGAGTGTGGAAGAAGATGGTAACATGATTCGAAGATTGAATCTCCATTGGCATGGCAATGATGAAGAAGACATTGACATATGGAGTAGTCTCACTGAGTCATCGTCCTCTCCTACGTCTTTAGATCCTCTGGGGCATTTGTCAATATGACTACTGTATATCGGGACACATACACATGTATACACGTATACACAAGGGCACGTATTTCTTCCGTATAAATAAATAATATACTTTATATAACTAATCATACGGTTCGTGTCGATTTTGTACATATGGGTCTTGTCTCGGTTCTTCGACATATCTCGCGTCGTTTGTATAGCCAACATGATGAAAACTATCGTGAGATAATTTCACTTCGGGATTTTATTTCATGCACGCATTACAAGAAACCATGTCGTCTGTCTAGAATATCCTGTACCAATATTGTTGAACCAGAAAAATAAAAATACGCATTGAAAGACCATTAATTTTGGCCTATCAATATAAATCTTATATTTTGGATTACAAGTGCTCATATTGACAATTTGATGAAGGTGGTGATTGTATACGTACGGGGGCCATAATATCACAAGCCTTGTTCACTCCAAATGATTATATATATACATATATATATATATAGACATCTTTTGGGGTGGGAAGGAGGGAGATGGGTCACTCGACACACATAATTGGCAACAACCTATTTAGATCATTAGTCACAATATTAATCAATTTGTGCACATGCCATCTTAATTGATCAAACATATTGATCATGGGATTAGTAGAATCTTATTTAATCTCCCACCTTGCCGAACTTTCGTTTGATAACAGTGGTCCAACACCATGATGTCAACATATAGATCAACACATTGAAGCCATATAAAAATCTCTTTTATTTTTATTTTGTATTTTGGTGGATTGGACAAATTGGATAAAGAACCAAACAACCCAAGTACTGTTGTACCAATAAGCATAAGATTCATTTGTCCAAAATCCAATGGTGATGTTAAGAGAGAGAGAGAGAGAGAGAGAGAGAGAGAGAGAGAGAGAGAGAGTATATATGCAGATTCAGAAATGTTTTTGAATGTACCCGTAAATCGATGAACAACAAAAGGCCAAGGGTCGTAATTAATCGCATTAATGACGTGGGTGAAGTGATGTTTATTTTGACTTTAGGTGAATGCCGAATATTGGTCGGATTATACATTAGTCTTCCTTCGTTATGATTTTAACTTTTGTATTCCAATTAAATGTCGTTATCTTTTCGTTTTCGTTGGAGAATCCCCATGTCGCATTCCATGAGTTTACAAGCACTACCATACCATGAGCATATATTCATTTTTGTTTATTGTTTTTCCCCCCAAAATTATCTGTTCTATAACGTGTAAATAGCATGGTCAACGTCTTCTATGTTAAACAAAAATTAGAATATTCGAATTCGAATAGATAGAGAAATCACTGCATGAATTTAAATCCGAAGAAATTGGATGATCTCTATTTGATATTTTGTAATTTTGACGAATCCTAGGTATAAATCATACATACAAACGAGTGAATGAAGTTTCATTTTCTTGTTTTGAAATACTTCTAATTTGGGCAAATTACTTGTTTATATTATATTTTTAATTAATAATTGAAATTGGCAATGTATATTTGGATATGTAGAATCAAACAATGAAAATATCTAAAAATTGAAAGAAAAAAATTAAAAAAAAAAACTCTTTAAAAATGATTATTTCTTCTTACGAAATCTGAATTCCAATCGAATCCGAACATAATTTAGTGAAATCTAATCGTAAACCAACGCAAAAATATTTATGAGCTCACAAAGGTTCTTCTTCTCGTGTGTAAAATCTTTTAGTGTAATTTTTCTTTGTCGCCTACTACTACATAAACAATGGCTGTATGAAAAAAAACAACAACCTTAAAAGATAAATTATACAACTATTTTTTTCTAAAAAAATATTCGATCTTTCAGAGATTTTATATTGGTCTCAGATTTAATTTGAATTCGATTAATCTGATTTCAGTAGAATTTTATCCAACTTTTTTTTTTTTTGCGTAAAACTCGATTCAAATATAGTTAGATAATATACCCTTCAAATTTATGTTAACTTAACGTCCACTTTTTTTTAAAAAAAAAAATGTAATATGGAATAAAAATGTACACTATATATATATCGTTGAAGAAAAGAGTTATCGAATATCTGTTTCAGCTGATAATAATTCTGTCCGTGGAAAAAAAAAATTGAAACAGAGTGTGTCCGTAACAGATGGGAAGTCATCTCACAAGTTTATATCCTTTAATATTATTAAAACTAAATAATAAGAAATTAAACTTTTCTAATTTTCCGTGGTGGTACTATTACTTTGAAAACACCATGGTTAACAAAATTATAATTATTATAAACCAATCAGAACGCCGGGGATTGGCCGACAGGCCCCACGAAAATCCATGCAGCACAATATACATGTAAATTCCAACTATATTAAGATAAAAACTCGTTATCATATACTATGATTAAATTCGCTGTCTTAATTTATCCGACTCAAATAAATAATCTATCTTGTAATAAATATGTTTGGTGTATGAAATGAAAATTATATTTGCACACAAAGTCTATCTCTATGTACAATTTTATTAGTGTGTATGACAATTTATAAAAGAACCATATCATATGATTTTGACCTTTCTGATTCTATTTTTTTTCTTAAAACCAAACATCCTCAATTACATAAACGGTAAAATAATTGGAATTATTGCAACTTGCTTGAAGTATTATCACTACATTTAACATTTCAGATTTCTGTCGTTCAACTATTTTTTTAGTTTATTATTTTGTAAAAAATTATTAATTCAGTTTAGTTTAATTTGCAAAATTGATTCAATTGTTATCCGGATTCACTTAACATCCAATTCTCAGTATGAAATGAATTATTTGTTTAGAAAAAAATACTCGATTATTTGTTATTATTATTTTTATATTTCATTTGAATTTAATTAATTAATTTTATAAAGATTATATCTCATGCATGCTTGACAAGCCCGTCCATGTGTAGTAGCGTCTTTATAAAATGGGCCTCTGAGTTAGGCCCAAAATGTAAAGCATACTAGCGTGGGCTTATGGGCCCTCACAACCGATCATCCACTGTCACATATAGGATTGGCAATTTGGTTGGGGTTCCATTTACTTTGGTCGTTTTTTCAACTTTGAAAAAAAAGAGGTCCAATTTCAAATTTGTTGATTCATGTTCATGGCATTACAGAAGAAGACTTGAACTTAGTTATTTTCACCGGAGCAGAAATGGCTGAACAACTGAGAAAACAACCTGAGCTTTGATTTATGATACGATTCTTTCCTGTCGGAACAAAGACTTGCAGTGTAAACGATGAAGATTCCGATCAACTGCAGATGGGACAGAGAACGAGACCGTTCTCGTTACACTCCCGACATCTCACCACCGCGGCGGAGTTCCTCCATCCCTCCACCAGTTTACAGCTTCCGTTGCACCGGAAACACGGCAGGAACCCTACTCCGCCGCATCCATCGCACTCGCCGCCGCATTTCCTCGGCAGCCCTTTTACCAGTTCCCCGAAAAGACCCTCCTCCACCAGCCTCAGCACCTCCTCTGCTCCGCCGATGTACCTCCCGTCCACGAATACCCTCGGCGGAATCTCCGCCGTCAGATTCTTCAGCTCTTCCCTGAACCCTCTGTCCATCGACACGTCTCTCTCGCAGACGGCCACGCCGAAGCTCTCGACGGCGGCTCTCACGGCGTTGCAGGCAACTGTCGACCGTGTAGATCACGACGCGGTTCTCTCCTCCCGGCGGACAGAGCTTCTGGAACTGAAACTGGAACTTCTCCGAAAAATTCGGATCTAGCGGTTTCATCAGGACCTCATCGCTCAAATTCTTTCTAGGGTTTCTCCGATTGGGATCCGAATTCTCCTTATTGAATCCGGCTGAGGCACTGAATTTCACCGGAGTCCTCGGCATCGGCGAGAATCGGAAGCTCTCGGCGTCGAGACCGGACATGAGCTCCCAGGAGTTGATGACCTCTGGTTCCGACCGGATGAGCCTGGGCTCGGACCAGAGCGAGTTGGGCTGGGTCAGGACAGAGTCGACGGTGAGTCGCTCAGGCGGAGTCATGGGTGCAGCGGCGGAGGGCGGCGGAGGGTCTAGGGAGAGGAGGCCATAGGTGGTGGAGGTGAGGTTGACGATATGGTTGCCGAAGGCGGAGCCGCCGAGCTGTGAGAACTCGTCGTCTTGGTTCAACAGGTTCGACGAGACACAACCCATCGCCGGATATTCGATTCGACGCCGGAAATTTTCTTTCTTTCTTTTTTGCCGGAGTTCCTTGAGATTCGAGTATACGAATTTGAAACTGAACGTGAAAGTGAGGGGAGGAGGAGTGAGATCAGGACAAAAGCTTAGATTAAATTAAAGTCCTTTCTTTTTTTAAATGCAAAGTAAATACCCATGTGGCGTTTCAGTTAATGTTATTATTTAAAAAATAGAAATAATTTAAGCAGTTCCAAAATAATTAACATTTCAAATTCAACTGTCCATTTTTCAGTGATGGACTCGCAAACCTTTTTTTTTTTTAAGATGCCCCATGTTTAATAATCGATATTTTATGAAACTGATTATACAGTTAATTAATTGTGTAATATATTTGTTTTTTATTATTTATTTTTGGGGCACAATTTCTAAGTTTGTTTAAACAAAGACCGAACCTTTTTCTTTTTTCAAAATTCAAGAGAAGGGGCCCAGGCGGTCACGGATCAAGGGGGCTGTCATATAAAAGGAGTTTGAAAATTAATGAGAAAGTGACGGTGACCGAAGCAACATGCAAAAAGCCCAAATTTTTAATTGTATCTATCAGTCGTAGAAAATTATATCGGAAGGCCCATTAGATAATAAGAAGTTAAAAGCCCATTAAATAAATTCAATTTTATGTCGAGCGAGTCCGGCAATGGGTACGTGCGTTCGAGAGCCTCAAGAGTGCATCAATGGACTGTTTCTGGGAAGATCATGAATCAGACAACTCTGGTGGTTATGCTGATGATGGGTTCGCCGGAGAGATCTCGCCGTGTTCCACGACCGATCTCCGGTTTCTAAAGTTAGAGCTTTTCGAACTTATAGATTCAGTTCTGTGTTGTTTTCCTCGTCCGATGTTGCCTTCGCGGATTGGCAAACGAAACCAATTAACAACACCAGAACAGATCCATTGGGTTTTCCCTGTTTTCCGGTGCAGAAATTTTCAGAATTTCAACGCAACGTACATCAGAGAGAGAGAGAGAGCAGAGGACGAGACAACGAACACAACAGTTTCAGAAAACAAGAAATCGGATTGAACAAAGCCTAAGATCCCAACTGGGCAAAAACACCGAACCCAGAGATTTCAGTTTCTCTAAAAATGACTGAGAACTGTAAAACGTATTTAAGAAGAAGATCATCTGAACTCTTTCACTGACCAGTCCACAGTTTTTGTCTTTTCAGTTTGAGCTTCTGCTGCAGCTACTGGTGGTGGCACTACTGATGCTGCAGCCGCTACCATTACTCGAGACGCCAAGGCACAAGGCTTCAGCCAACGGCCCACCAGGCGGCGACCCCAACCACGACAATCCCCCCTCGTGGCACATCCACTGCTGCTGATGGTTCGAACCCATCAAGCCATCCACTGCTTCATTTCTGTTGCCTTCTACCTCTCCAGCCATAGACAGTGAGAGGGAGCTTCCCATTGCTTCATTTGCAAATGCGTCAATGAAGTGCCTTGTCTCTAGGGAATGTGTCTGGTTTAGACTCATAAGGCCCTCCACCGAGCCGAAGCTCTGGCTTACCAGCTGTTCCTTCTGTCCGAAATTAAGATTGTGATCGAACCCGAGGCTGTTGCCGTTGGATCTTCCGGGTTCTTGGCTTGATCCCACCTTCAGCTGAATCATTTCACCCAATTCGTGGGTTGAACAATTCATTACAGAAGCATCATCATCCTTCATAAACCACCTCAAGCCCCTACATTGAGCAAACAGCCCATGTATCATCATATCAAAGTGTTGAAAAGCCTTTATGCATACAAATGGACGGGTGAACAATAATCCAGTGCACTAACGCCAAACAATTGTCCAATATAGTACCTTAGATCTTATAACAACAGCTTAGAGTTATGCAAGTAGAAATCAGCTCCATTGGCGGAAAAAAAAAACAAGGGCATGTAACCAACCTGTGTTGATCATATGAAGAGGAAGCAGAGGCCAGAGGGGGATACATAGCCAATTGGGTCTCGGGTTGGCCGTAAAAGTTAGGATTTTGAAGGTAAGTCCTAACCAACTGGTCAGTAGTATTGTTCTTAGCGGCCGCGGCTATGGTGGAGGTTCCATGATTGACAGTGTGAGGAGGTAATTCCACATGCTTTCTTGAACGGGGGCGGTTTTTGTGAGAGTGTCTTTCACAGTACTTGTGATCAGGAATGACGTTTCTTGAACACCGCCATTTCTTCCCGTCTGTCCTTCGGCACCGCCATGGCTCCAGATCCATGCTGTTGCTTGCACTTGAAGCAATCCCCAATTGAAGTGTACCGCCTTTTTCAGCTGTGGCCAATGTAGACAATGAAAACAAGCAGAACTCCATCAACCAACAAAGCAGAGATTGCGTTCTACAACAATGAGACTGATGAGACTAAACACCAACAAAAACAAAAAATTTCAAACGTTTGAAATAAAGTTAACCCCTTTCCAGATGGAACCACAGTGAAACAGAAACCCATGGAAGATGATCAAGCGAAAGCAGTAAAAAAAAGTATCACGAACATTTAACACTATATATATATATATATATATATATATATATGAGCATCAGTAATAATAATAATAATAATAATGTAACAGAATAAACGACGGGCCAGTTACAATTAACTGCAGCAGGAACAGGATCAGAAGACATCATGTACCTATATATACTCTTCTGCCTCTCAAACTCTTGCAACTGAGCTTCACTGAAAGCACATGCCTTCTCACTTATACTCATTGTTCCCGTTTCCCCTAAACCAACACCAAAATCAAATCAAAACCCATCAAAATCACAGTTTCAGCGCTAATTCATAACTCAGACGTCCATAAAGATAACAACTGTAACCTGAAGAGGTTAGAGTAGAAAAAGGGTCTGTTGATGAAGCAGCGCCAGTGGAACCGACGTGGTAGAACATGTTACTGAGACAAGGAGTGAATGTCTGGCTGTTTGAAGCACAAAACAAAGGACCACCAGCGGTACTGCTACTAATACCTCCATCATAACAGCAACAGAAGGACGAGGAAGAGAAGGACGATGATGATGATGATGACAATGATGATGATGTACTGTGATGGGGAAGCACCATGATGCCTTTATGCGAGTGTTCTTGAACTCCAAATCCAAACCCAGAAGCAAAACCTTGTCTACGCTATGCTCTTGCCCCAACTAACACGTCTCTTGAACCCATGAAAACCCTTTCTATCTATCTAAATATCTCTCTTTATCTCATGCAAATCCGCTAAAAAAGATTTGGGAAAAAAACCGACCTTTTTCTCTTCAAGCTATCACCTTTTCTTCACTCAAATAACAACCATTCATCTCCCAGAAAAAAACACACAAGAACAGAAAGGAAACAGAAAGAAGGCAGAACCCCTTCTGTTTTATGTATTTCTCACTGTAACTGAACCTGGGAATGGGAAAAAAAAACCTAGCCTTTTCCTCTCCCCAAGGTTCCAGCTTTTTACCACAAACAACAACTAGAAGCCTAAAAAACCCTCAAAATCAAAGTGTGAAAAAAAAAACACAAGCGCAGAGAAATGGAGGAAGTAAAAGGGGGGAAAAGGTCAAGTTTGACAAACGAATGCCTCTTCTCGTAAACTTGAAGACAAAGAGGAAAAGACCATCCTGTTTTCACAAGAAAGATCCCGACTTTTATTTCCTCAAACAACCATTGCCCACCTCCCAAAACCTTTAAAGGAAAAAACTCCAAAGAACACGAGAGAAACCCAAAAAAAAAAAGGGAAAGAAATCCTCCTCTGTTATATATATGTCTATGTCTGTGGAATTGAAGAACGAGAAAAATGAGAGGATGGGGGAGAAATAGTGGGGGGAACTAGGTTAAAGGAGTGGGGGATGCGGTGCCGCCATTCGAGAGCTTCATGAGGTGTAAGCTTTTTGCTTCCTTAGCTTCCAACATTCGGACTTGTTTCGGAATACAGACAAATCTTTAATTCTGTCCACTATTACTCCTACCCCCCCTCTCTCTCCCTCCTCACACACACTGTGGCGTCCTAAGTTGTCGTTTCCTCCCCTAAACGCCGTTAACTGTCCGTCACCGCCTCATGCCTCTTTCTTCGACCTTCGGTGACGTCCTTCTCTGTTTTTCTTTTTCCCTCACTAAACATCGAGTTAATGCTCCGCGTAGGAAAAATTTCAAAGAGCATGCATGCATATGGACCATACATGTGCATCTAGATATTATTATCGCGTAGAGTGTTTTACTGCACGTTCTTCAAGAATTTCTTCCACATTATCTCATCCCATAAAGTCATATATGTGTATATATATGTGTGTGCTTGTGTATATATTGATTATGAAGTTATAAACTTCATCGTAATTTATGTTTGCGTTCTTGTTATGCGTTATACGAAGTAACTAATGGAGTGTGTAGGTCTACTAATAAAAATAGTAAATCAATGGTGACGCTCTAACTACATCCACGTAACGACCACATCCTATTATTACTAATGAAAAGGTATAAAACCCTCTTTCATGTGACAACAAAATGTCGATCCATTATATTTATAGGTTCTTGAAACTCTTTACCTTCTTTTTTTTCTAGGAACATTCTACTTTAGTTGTAATAAGCTCAATATTATTATATAGAAATCGATATTTATACATTTTTTTCTTATCCTAAACAAGTGTTGGTTGGACCATACAAACCACTATCAAATAAATATATTATATGGATAAAAAAACAAATACCTTATAGTGGAAACAAATCTTGAATGGTAAAAAAGTGGTTTACTTTGCAATCACATATGACAATGACAACTTCGGTAACAAACTTGAAAATATACTGACAATTTTTTTTTAATAATCCAAAAGTTTACCTAATTTTCGATCCAATTGTATAGTTCAAAACAGTTCCAAATGGAGATTCGAATCTAAATTGAAAATGAACTATATAATCCATCCCTTATCCCACCTAATCTTAGATAATACTCCCTCCGTTTCATTTTATATGACGTTTAAGAATTCACACACAAATTAAGAAAAATAATGTTTTATCCGAAATATCCTTATTTATTGCATAGATAATTATCATTGGTAGAATATTTAAATATTATTAAATAAGGGTAAATTTAGAAAAATTATTAAAAAATACATTGAAAATCTGAAAACGTTATTTATTTTAAAACAAAAAATTTGTTCTAAAACGTCATTTAAAATGAAACAGTGGGAGTATATGGTAACTTTGTTTCAAAGAATTATTATTCAAAACAATATACTCCTCTAGTCTCTCTCTATCTATCTATTTATATAGTATAAGTACCATGACGGTCCATGTATACAAATTATATAATTTGTAAGCAAACAGAAACATTAAACAACAAAACCAGATGAGACAGCAGAAGAAGAAGATGCACGATAAGACTAGATCGATCCGTTAGGTAACGGCGTTAGGACGCCATAACGAGCATGGGGGATCGTGCGCATGAATGGGACCCACATGGGGGAAACCGTGGTATTAAGGGACCACAGGATGTGATGCTCTAACTAATTAGTAATCGCACCTGTTTTCCCTCTTTGGTTACTCCTT